TTAGAATAAAATACTCCTGATGCAATATATAAATGTTACTGTTAGTTTTTTATAGAAACTACTGTAGCTGTTGCACTGCTTCACAATGTTTCAAACAGCTCAAAATAACTTTACATTATAACATAAAAGATATGATTATAACAGTACGATATTAGGTCATCATAAATAAATATTACAAATCCTATCAAATATGGAAGTTTAAAAAACAAAATTTAAGACATACAATTTAACTTTAAACCCTTAATAGGGATACACTTTTATCACATAAACCCCACTGTTTTAACTAGGCAGCAAAAAATGTAGTAAGGGCATAGGTCTAGACATGAATGTTTTCACCCTTGTAAGTGCCAATACATACCAGAAGTCTCCCAGCTTTCAGACAGAGATGTGCACTAAAGCTGGAATGTAAGTGAGAGAAAACAGCAATGCATTTTTCTCCCTGACCAGCACACTCTGCCTGGTATCCAGCGACATTTCTGATGACTGGTAATTCAGAATTCAACTTGTTTTACTGTATAATCCCTGACTCTCACTGTGGTGCCGAACAGCATAGCTCCACATGTACATATTGCACACCTTTATAAAGCTGAAAATGCAGTCTTACCATCACCAGAACCACCACCACTCCCCTACGCTCATCTCCCCCTGACCCGGCCTGTTTTCTGGAGCGCAATTACAAGGCTGTCTCTTTTAAATCGTTCAGATTTGGCATTCTCGATCGGTTTGTTCGGTTATACGTGTGCCCATTCTGTCCGCTCTTGGAAGGCAGCTGATCTGAGTAGGGAGGCCCATCGCTCGCGCCCCTGTTTACCGGGGAGACATGCCAGGTGGGTTCCAGCTGACTTGGTATCTGCAGTGTCGGCCTGCTTTTCGGCTGAGGCTCTTGTCGCACGTTGCTGCTGCCACTGCTGGAGCTTTGACTCATGGGGTGAATTCGCACTTCAGAAAACGCAGCTTTGGCTGGCTGACTTGGTAAGGGCTGGAAGCGAGACTCAGCAGGGACAGGATGATTTGAAGTGGAGAGGTGTAAGAGCTTTCGAAGAGATTTTAATGGCTGGCTCTGAAAGACATCAGAAAAGCACTTGACCACCTGCTCTCCATCACATCATACTTCCTATGGCAAAACGGTCATATCCTAAACTGAACACCTTGAACTTCACAGGACTTCTTCACTTAAATATGTGTTCATTTGGAATATTTCATTCCAACCTATGGGTACACACCCGAGAAAATCTCTTCTCATTATGATTCAACCTCTTAGTTACCTGAAAAGATGGAAACTTGTCTACATCAGAAAAAAAAATGTTGTTCCCATCAATTATTTTAACCTTGTTTCCTATGAAAACAGAGACATAGACAGTTGCATTAGCTGTCCCTCTGTCACTACTCCTGCTATTAACTTTAAAACCTCAGCCACATTTTATAAGCCACAGATACGAGAAATACAAAGTTCCTGAGAAATTTGTGAACCTCAGTTAGGGGTTAGAGAGGGTCTTGAGTAATCATCTGCAGGAAATAAGGGCTGGCAGAACTCAGCAGTGAGATATTTTGTTTGCTAACAGCTGGGCGATAAGCTGCTCTAGTCCTTCACAACTTCTTTAAGTGGTGAGCAAGTTGAAGGAAAATGGAGGCATGGGGTCACTGAAAAGGTCCTGGGGAGGCCGGAGTATGAGTATACAAACTGGTATGAAAATAACCTCATTAAATTCCACAGCTCACAGAGAAAGTTGCTTCTTCAAACACCGCAACTGCAATAAACCCTCTTCTTCAGTTTTCAATGTTGTAATGGCAACAGAGCATGGCACTGAAACTCCCTCTCAAACCATGCCCCCCCCAGCTGGTTTTAGAAAATAAAGTTGCATTAGTGCAGTGCTGTGCTCCAGTAATGCAGCCTGCTTAAATCACAGTTTGCGCCAGCTGAGGCACAGCTGCACCTTAGCATGCTCACAATGCTCTGGTGACCCTGTCCGGTACCACTGTGTCGAGCAGCAGTGTGCCCGCAGGATTCAGCATGGTCTGCAGAACTAACTTGAAGGGTTTTCTACAGCACTTCATAGCTACCATAGACATGTCCTGTAGTGTTGCTTGGCTGTAATACAAAAACATAACCAATACTTCAAAAGGCTCAAAGACTGACACAGGGACATTTAGTCTCTCTTCTTTTGCTTGTCATTCATGTCTAGATTTTCAAAGAATTATGCAGGATTGCAGGCACATGATTTTTTATATTCAGTGAAAGGGGAATAGGAAGATTGGGAATTAATGTCAAATACAATTTTTCTATTCACCAGAGAAAAAGCTGTCAAGATACCTCAGTGATGTTAAAATACAGGGAATTGATAATGCTACTTACATGAGGCTGGATTTCTGTCATCTTCTCAGGATGCCAATCTTTCTGCCTGCTGCTCTGGTGATTAGAAGTATGAACGGCTTTCTGTAATGCCAAGAGATCCTGACCATCACTGCTAGGCATCTGCAACAAAATATCAAATACTGGTCTCCTAATATATTCTTATGCATAGCTGTAAATCTTTTCCCCCAGTTAATCGCAGAACACAAGTGAAGCCCATTTACTGCAGCAGAATTGCATTGACCTTTCAATAGTTTTCCCCATAGTAAGAGCAACTGGCTGTGGAAATCATGCAGATTTACTATACCCTTAGCCCTTAAAGCATTCGCATGCTGTTAGTGTTATTTGCTGTAAGAGAGAGCAATTAAACGAGGCTTCAAAAAATAAAAAAAAGATGATGTTGAGCCTCATCTTCATTTAAAAGCATTCCATACTGCAGTTAAGACCATGGCTCAGTTCTATAAATTTGTTCCTGAATGAAGCAGACCAAAATCTCTCGAAACTGATGTCTGGCTGATTTTGCCATCACAAACCCATGACCTTTTTCTTTCACATCTTTTCCCTCCTCCAGAAATATCCCAAACTGGAGCAAAAATTAAGAAACTTCCCACCCAAGCTGAAAATCCAATGAAATTTATGGCAGAAAGATAATTTAAAACTTACATGGAGAGTCTGATCTCATTTCAAGAATTCTGAGCAAAAAAAGGACAGCTGAAATGTAACCTTTTTTAATGCAAACTGTCTTTTATCATGAACAAGCAGGAAAAAAAATACAGCAGAGGCATGAGCTAAAATTTAGTTTTCAGATAATCTGTTGTTAATATTTGATTTATACATAAAGGAGCTGTTTGCATTAAAAGGTGTATTTCCAATATAGCTGTAAACCAAGCCATGTTATTTTTTTTCCTGATTGAAACAGAATAAGACAGTTTAGTTTAAAACATACATGATTTCAGAACTATTTTCCTCCTTTAGTCTTGGTCCCAGGATTCATTCTCTCTGGAACTCTGTATTTTCAGTGTATCAAATATGAAAAAAATTAAGAAATTAGCTGCAATCTATTTCAACAGAACTGCCAATTTTACTGGAATTTATTGAACTGGCCCAAGATACTTAACTGGCATGAAGAGAAAGTGATCTCATGAAAATAAAACATGCTGCTCTAGTCAGTAAACCAAGTTTACTGGAGCATTTTACAGTGCTACTGTACTTAAAAATTAATACCATGGGTAGAGTGACTACAGGAAGCTTTTTCAAAGAAGACCTATGCTTTAAATTATTCTTTGAATTAAAAAGAGGAAAGAGGGATTTCTTGATGCTTGGATTCTCCCCGTTGGTTGAGTCTGTCTGCAATATAAGATACAAAACCTAAATGCATAGTATTTCAATTCAAGAGATCTGTCCTTACTATATTAATTATTTTTCTTTTTCTGGTAAATTCTGACAATATATGGTATCAATCCTATAATTTGCTTTGGGAAAATACAATAGTGACTGAATGAAAAAAGCATATAGAACAAACTCAAGGAACTCAATGCATATAGAACATGTAAAAAGAGATCAGTACACCTATTCTTATACCTATGTTTGCTAGGAATGCAGAGTGCATTTCAAAGCCTTTTGGAAACAACCGATAGGTCTTGTTGACTTTACCAACCTTTGGGATCAAATCCTCTAATTCTAGCAATCATTTGCTACTTATGATGATGACCTAAAGCTGTATGACATTTCTTATTTTTATATAAATAAAATAATAAACAGTTACTAGCTAACTAACAATAATAGTAATATAATGATTATATGACTGAAGGGAATGGTGGGTGCACTACCAAAAGCAACAGTTTTCAAACAGCTTTGTGAACTTCTAGATTCCATCCAAGTTAATGAAAGTGTCACTAATTAGCACAGATCATTTAGGAACTTTATAGTCAGAAGAGCTTCCTGTTTCAATTTCAGTAAAATAACAAGGAATCAAAGCATCTCTAGGAGAAATGCTCACCTACAACCTATTTTTTTCAAAGTAGATAATTTCTTCAGACCTATAGCTTGCAATATGTGCCAAAATCTGCAAAACGCAGGCTCCTCCGAAGATAGTGCCCATTGACACTGAGCACAACCCTCACAGGTATCGAATTGTTTGGTGGCAGATGACAGAAAAAACTGTGACTAGCAATCCTCAAAATCTTTCGTTACGTTACTAAAAGACTCCAAACAAGATGAAAAGAGAATGTATAAGAACAGCTTAGCAAAAGCAATATTGCAAAGAATTCCCAAAGGAGGAAGTAACAATTATTATCCCATGAGGAACTGCACCTGGAGAACTCCAGGAAGAATGATTAACAGGAACAACTGAAGGAGGAAGTGTCAGGATTTGGGATCAGTTCTGGGCTATTAAAGGTTTTGAGAATTACATTATTAAGAAGATCCTAGCTAACTATGATGTGCTTCTCAGTGCTCGGGCAGTTCTCAGGCCTAGTTTATTATTTGCTGCAGAAAGCTGTCTCAAGTAAGTCAGATTTCATACTTCTAGGAGTCTGTAAGAATTACAAACTTCAGAAAAAACTTCAGTAGTTACAAGCTATCTGTTGGATTTTTAATGTGAATTCATAGAAAACATTATTCATGTAGTTGAAAAGCTAACAGTACGGTGCTGTTACTACTGAAGTCAAACTTGGTGCTGAACTTAAGGTAATAATTTTTGTTTGTGATGGAAGATCCTAACAACCACCCCAATTTTGGTGAGGCAGAGGTCCTCAACTAACACATGAAGAACAAAGAACGTCTGAAACAGAAACTTGTACACACATCATTGGGTACAGTCTATCCGTAGACACTGTCCCATTAAATAGTTGCAAGCAGAAATGAAAAGAGTTTTTTCAGTCTCTGATTGGGTCCAAAAATCAACTTGATGGCAGCAAGTTTCCAGCTGGAAACTGGGTGGAAGAATTTTATTACTATCTTATTTCATTAATCTATTAATCTTCCTGTGAGATACTAGCCCTAACTAGCCAACATAATTTTTCCTTATGCAAAACCTCTCTCCCTCCCTCTCCCCCTTTTCTTAAGAGTGAGAAAAAACAGGAATAAGGATTATGTATGGATCTGTCCTGCCTTGTAATTAGTGATGGTTTTCATATATTTAGATAAAGGTACCTGTGATGTAGATGTTTTGGAAAGTGCCGGATTTTGAGATGCAACACAATCCAGTCTGTATTTCCTTCACACAGTTAAATCTGGAAGTACTTTGACACACCATGTACCAGCTGGGCTTTTAAAGTGTTCCATGCCATCACAGTTGAATGACTGGAATCAGAGTAGACTAAAACAGTGAAAATGTTTTTTTAAAGGCATCACTGGAACCAATGGCTTTGGTGTGCTATCCTTTCATGGGCATTTTGACATCAAATAATGCCACAGTTATAATCTAGGTGTTTTGTTTAGTTGGGTAATGCAGATGATCATATTCGAACTGCATATGGGTATTAAGATGAACAAGTTCAGAAGACAAGGTAGATGCCACTGCTCTAAAACTTGCCCGTAAGGACGGCAAGGTGCATTTTTGAGTAGTAGTTAATATGCACGTTCCGTACAAAAGCCTGATAATCACTCCTCTCCCCCGATTTTCAATAGATCAGCCCTCCGTCAACACCCAGAGTCATGCCACCTCACTCTGCGACAGCAGATATTTTGATTTAGTTACTCCCCTTCATTAGGAGTGAGTGTGATTTACTCCATTCTGAGACCCTTCAAAACTGTAACTGCAGTTACTCTTACAGAAATATTGCAACTTTATGTAAATGAAATTTTAAATTACTTACTGTTTCCAGAACTAATTTGAGGATGAGATGAGATAATGTTTAAGTTACTCCAATTCTTAGGGAGATTATAATTATAAAACTTTGTGAAAAGTTAATATACCACTCCTCTGCTCTCCTATAAAAGAAAGTTCTTTCTTCCTTCCCCAAAACTAAACGAAAACATTAAAACGTATAAAAGACACCAAAGGCTTATACCAGATAACAAATGCCACAATCCATTCCCCCAACAAATCATTAAACATTAAGAATAGCTAAGATGTACCATCCTTATTCCAGCCATGGGGTACAAGCAGGAAGACAGAGGCTGTTATCAAGACACTGCCATGAAAAAGACTGGAAAGAATTCTCATTTATAACTGTTCGATCTCCTCTCAATGGGTATCTGAAATTATTCAAGCTTTGGGGACACATGATAATGCATTTGCTATTCTTGGAATGGTATCACCATATCCTGCAAAAGAATTTACCCCAACATCAGCTTAAAACTTGCATCAAAACTGGCTCTCAAAGAGTCTGAATGTAAACAAAGATGCACTGGGCTAGTAGGAGAAGAAATATTTGAAAAGGCACTTAAATAAACCCTTAATAGGAAAAGAATTTGACTTTCACATAGTGAAGAGAGAAAATAAAAGAACAAATAGATACACGTGGGCGTGGTCATAAATAATACAAAGGTACTGTACTAATCCAGCATATTAAAATAGTATAATTCAAAACTGATAAACATATTTTCTGTTAGAAATACTGTATACTTACGGTTTGAGATTTCTTCTTTTTCTTTTTTATTGCCCTGAAAAACCCTTGCTTTTCTTTCTCCTTGAGCTCTGAGTGACTGTTAAGGTTTTCAGGACTTTTCCTAAACATGAAACAAGGCATTGTAAGAGATATTTTATTTGATATTATGTAAATTCTTTGTAATAATGAGATCTGAAGCCAAAGAATGTGAATTATTGACTAAGCAAAACGATTCTTAATGTTTTAGCATTCATTGGTTCTATTCAAGGGTTACTATACAAATACTGCATAGTCTTATTAAATGATATAGGAGGAACACAGTGTTAGGTAAAATGATTAGCTCAAACCAGTGAATAGTTATATAGGGAAAAGGAAGCATGCATGTCTTTTTTAATATATATATATATAAGCCAGAATTTAATATGCAAACAAAAATATCACACAGGAGGTCTTTTTGAAAAATTAAAATCATATCTGAGAGAACATACAAATGGCGATGAGGTATAAAAGCACAGGTCCAGTTTATCTATTGCTTTGTGGAGAGCCAGGAGTTGCAAAGTTCACAAGAGAACCACTTTCAATTGAACTTCCTGACCTTTGCTGACATGGTTCCAAATTTATCATTGGAGAAGCTGGGGATCTACTGTTGTCCATTTTAACTTAAAAATTTCAGTTAGTTTGTTATGTGTGGGTGAGACAGTGCTGGCAAAAGAAGAAGACCCAGAAGTGGAACAGGTGACTTGCCTGAAGACCGAATTTCCACCTTTTAGCTCATCTACAGAGCTGAATTAACTGCAGCTGATAAATAATATGTTACTTCAAGTATACACAGTAAGCATACTTATATGGGTTAGAAGGATGTTTTTTGCAGAACACTTGTGAGATAACTGAATGCAGTTGTAGAGCAAAATAGTTCGAAAATCGGAAATGGTGCAGGAAAGCATCCCAGAAATAATTTCAGGGGTAGAAAGAATGGCCTACTCTAAAAGAGTCGGAGATTTCTCTCTAGTATGTTAAAAAACACAGTCAAACCAGCCCTGATATTTAGTTTCCTTGATTGCGGCGCAGAAGTACTTATCCATGAAGAAATTACAGAATACTAGATGGATTTTTAAAGTAAAGGGCAAAGACAAAGGCATAACAAGAGCAAGTAGGTGGATGCTGAAGCCAGAGAAGTTGTATTAGAAACAAGGCACTGATTTTAACAATAAGAATCAGTAACCACTGGAACAAACACTTTAGTGAAGAAGTGGATTTCCATCTTTGACATTTCAGATCAGGACCTCATACTCTTCTGAGACACACATTACTCAGTTATGCTACCGGGCCTGGACCCTAGAGAATGGGTGACATTTAATGGGAACTAACATACAGAAAATCACAGTGGGTGATTTAATAACAGAAAATCTAAAGGAAAGCCACAGTTCTAAGGGCTCAGGATGACAAACAGGAGCAGCTTTTCTTGGAGTAACTGTAATGTAGCAACACTTAGCTGTCTCCTATAGTTATGGCTTCTAATTCTGGCTTTAAATGCTATGCTATCAGCTGGTGATTCAGCTGCTACTACATGCCAAGCTGACATTTTTTTCCAAGCAAATGTGAAACATAATTGGGGTAGGAATCACTGGAGTCCTCATCGATAAGAATATCTTCACTCTGATAGGTGGTTTAATCAGTTCCTCAGTTTCTACACAAAACCACCTCAAGTTTGAAATGCTACCTGGTTCTAAATATAAATGCATGCTATGTTTAAACACTGTAATAAAGTGCAATTGTTGAGTAAAAGAATGGGCTTAGTGGAAAAATTCGTAGGCAGAGAGAATGGTGGAAATTTTCCTAATTTAGATTTTTTCGAATTTACATCAAGATCCAGGAAACACATTCAGGTGCACAACAACATAGATTTAACATGAAAGTTACAATGCTACAGGAAAAATCTCTAGTTTAATATAATTACTAGATTTATAACACATATTTCAAATATACTGGACTGCTAAGGATTCTTGTTTCTGTCACTTTCCTGTATTTGGTACCACTAATAGGTAGCAGTAGGGCAGTCCTGCATTCGTTACTTAAAGCACGAAGTAAAGACTATTGACAGCTTTACGGACTCAGTGAACTCACAGGACTTGACTTAACAGAGACAAAACACCAAGTTATTTACTAAATGTTTTTTACTTAATTTGTTACAAAAGCTGGAGGAAAGCATGCACCCCAAGTATTCTGCTTGTCTTCTGAAAGTCATGTAAATGGGGGTGAGAATCTTCTGAGCTCCTTTCCTCAAAGGAGCTACTGTGCATCCACAGCTGCAAACATGCCCTAAACCACAGCCCCAGTGCAAATTACCAACCCAGCAACTATGTTGTCCACTGAAGAACCAGTGTCAAATCATGAGAAAGTCCCCATGTGCTTACTCTAAATTGTCCTTTAAAATTTTTCTGTGGATTTCTGTTCCAAAGTCTATTCCAAAATGGAGACACTGTATTTTTAAAGGTGAATTAATCTTCAGAATAAAGCTTGAGGACAATTTTTGCCATACTGTTAGACAGAGATTCACTCAATTGTGATTCTTTTCTTTGGCCTGGTGAACCTGAGTAAGAAAACTGCTTCCTACAGCCGGTGAACAGAGAGGAGAGAAGTGAAATTCTGGATCATCATTTCCTCTTAATGAATACTGTGACCAGACAGAGGAGGAAAATAAGGGGCTGAGAACTCTGCTCAGTTTCAGTTGGTGCTTACCCAAAAGCCAGTGTTTTTACACCAACTGGTTTATGTCATTACCTCCTATGACTCATATTGCAGTACAGTTGTCTGAAAAAGCACTGACCTTGAAAAGCAACTGCTTCAAAACATATGCTCATTATGTGAAGAGAGTGAACATATATAGCATTATAGCAGGAAGCTTCAACACCAGGATTTTGTACTGAGTAAAAATAGAGCAGAACATTTTGATCGATGAGATGAAACACTAGGATATTTTAAGCATCCCAAAAGATGATTTTCAGACAATGGACAGTCCAGGAAAAAATTAGGATTATCAGGAAAAAATCTGTATGATCAAATCACTCAACACTAAACCATTACAATACAACTGCAAGTATCTTGGTATTTTGCATAAAGCTTCAGCTCTTGAAAGCAAACTGTTACACCAGAATCTGTTGCATGCTGTCTCTTTTATTAGCAAGTAAACCCAGTTGTTGAGAAGAGCCCCCACTCCGAGAGCTCACTCTCAAGCAGAAACCAAAGACAAAACATTCTGTTACTTTATCTTTGTGTGCCTTTTGCATGTTTAAGTTGATAATGTAGATCACATTGGTTATTCTGATCTGAGACACTTTGAGAAGGCATAGGTATAAACACAACTTCTGTGATTACCTCTAGCATTCATTGCTCCTGGCAGGGAAGGTATCCAACATCATGCAGGTACAATGAGGCATAGCAGCAAACATGCACGGAGCAAGCAAGGTGATGTGCTTTACCATTAACTAAGTAGAATAAATAGGAAGCATGTTGCATTTATGCTGCCATAGATAGATTTGTATTGCAGAGAGTTTTTGGGAGGCAATTCCTCATGCTTATTTCAGTTATTCCTCAGAAATCCTAATCTCAGCAAGCAGCCTGGTTTGGAAATCGTCTTTAACTGCCAGTATACTACTCCCTTTACTTCTGAATCGCTCACAATGACATAGGTAAGATTTTTGTCTAATGGAGGACTTTCTGAAACTCTGTCTGAAGCCTTCTTTGGAAGATAAATGAACAATTGCTACTTCTCCAAGCTAGCTTTCATTTTTGCTTAAAGTAGAACCATTAGCAGTTACAGAGCTACCATGAAGGCAAGGAACTGTCAGAAACTAATGAATCACCTCAAATAGATGATTTACTTAAGAGTATCAATCCCACAACCTGAAGCACACAGTAGAAATTCTTGATCTAAAAGCCTGGCATTGAAAGCTTAAAAATCAAATCTGAACTTTGCTTGGAGGTGATTCCCCCTTCCCCCTGCCCCCACCCCACCCCACCCCCCATGTTGAAAAGGAAGATTTATTAACTGGCATAAACCTTGATCTACTATCTTATATACAGAATACCACCCAGAAGCCACTAAAGCCAGTAGATCACCTGAGGTCATAGCATCACTAAAACAAGTATACATATAAGTGTATTTATACATAAATGTTTTACCTGCCTCCTCTCCCGCCCCATCCCCATTCCAGAATTGTTCAACATTAGTAACCATAAAAATTTGGAAGTGGTTGGTTTGAAAACTTGTAAGGCGTATACTTCACTAGGCTTGTTTTGTTGGACAGAATATTGATGACTACAAATTCTGGAAAGCTTCCGTGCAGACAACATAGGAGGGCAACATCTCATTTTTAGTAAAAGACTGATGATAAGGGAAGGGTCATGGGAGAGGCACTGGTTACTAGAAGAGGCAGGCAAGGAGACTCAGGTGTTGCCAAATAGATGAATAAAGCAAGCATACTGGATGACAATGCATATGCAAGCGTCTTGTGCAGGAAATGTCAGAGGGAAAGCCATACTATTAGGAAGGTGAACATCTCCATACTATGCAGAGCAGATTCCTAAAGGCTTAACCAGTGTAACACACAGGTGATTTTTAAGCTTGCAAGTTACAAATTTTCCATTTCCTGATCTTTTTTACAAATTCAAGAATTCTGTAAAAGAACTGGTAAGTATTTACAATGCACAGCTACAGTTGTACTGCAGGCACAGCTGAAAAAGCTTTAAACTAGCTTGCTCAGATGTTGGTTTCAGGAACATTCTGTGACAATACTGTTACACTGATACTGAAACAGAATGTTTCTTGAACAACAAAGTTTGTGTGTGATTGTAAGCATTACATACATATAGAAGATAAATATATATATTTCCCCTTTTTATTATTTTTGCAGGAAGGTATGGCAAATGCTAGTGAAGATACGACAAGCTGTTTGTCATAGAATGCTATGTTTATACGGACATAAAAGGTCTAAACAACAAAGCTTTCCAGAAGCCACCAAATATCTTGTAAGCAACCAATGCAACCACTTCTAATACGTGAGATGAAGTACTGAATGTTTATGTCAAAGAGATATTTAGAACTATAACAGTGGTGAAGATAACTCAGGCCAACATTCTGGCACACTGGCAGAACAAGGATAAGCATCTTACCTATACCTACTGATTTTGCCCAGGTCAAGCAAAAGCTCATACAAGTGAAAGAGAATAAAACATCTACTCTTGTATCAAAAAGGAAAAACGCAAGTTCAGTATCATTTTCAGGAAATCGAAGTCTGGCAAAAAAAAAAAAAAAAAAAAGAAGAAAAAAAGTTTTCCAGAAGGATGACAATTCCGTCTTTTTTCAAATCAAGTTCTCTAAAGTTCAGAAATGATCTAGTAATTTAAGAGTAAAACCTGATGACAAAAGTCAAGTTTATAACACCTTTATTTTAAAGAGGCAGGACAGCAGGGACAGAGCGAAGAAATGTGCACAAAGACAAGGGAACATCTGTGACAATTCAGTCTAGCAAACATTCACAAAATCTTTGACAGAAGGCAACACAGAGCAATAGTATGAGGGAAGCAATATTTTACAGTAGTGGCAGGTCCAGGTGGAATACATGTCACTCATAATTCCAGATGAATTGTCATGTACCAGTTATGTATGCCAGTCAAACATCAAATATTTACTTCATCATAAAATTGATGTAAGCAGAATCACATTCCATTAGAGCTTTCAACATTTTCATAAGCATTTACACAACTTCTATACAGAAAATTAAGTAGAGGAACATAGACTCTACATCATTCAGGAATCTGATTAAGCTGCATTTGTGGCACAGAACAATTTTGCAACAACATCAGACCATTGCCAGGACAACTTGCACAGAGTTAACATGTAGAGCTGGGCAGGAAACATTTCAGGAAAACAGGGAGTAGGAAAAGCAAAGAGAAAGTGAAACATATGCCAAAATAGCAGTAACTTGGCGTTGCGGGCACTGCTATTCCTCCCATTTCCTAAGAAGAAATGCTTATTCTTCTGTGGGTTCTTCTCTCAGAGGAGCTGATCCACTTTGTGAAAATATTTGAGTACATTAAGTGGATTGAGGACTGAAATCTAACTCTATAAAAGTTAATGAAGGGCCTTATTCACTTAGCCATATTCAGCATCTCTGTGGTCCTTTCACTATTTCAACAAGATGAAACAGCTTTAAGAGAATACACTGAGGGAAACAGAGAATGTGCTCCAGAATAACCTCCAACTTCTGGTTGAGAGCATTCACTTGTTAGATCTAAGATCTTGGTTCAAGCTTCTGGTTTAATTAATGAAGAACAAAGGCCCTGCACTCAAGTTCCTTACATTCAAAAAAATAATGCTGACCTCAGAATATTTATTTTGAGTGTATCCCTGGTTTTGACAGGCAATTCCATCTTGGAGCTGAAGAATCTTCCCAATGAAAGGTTAATGGATATCAGTCTGTTCCTTTGAAAAGTTTTGTTTTCAGTAATTTGGCATTGTAAGCAAAGAAAAACACTTGGTTCAAAAATTCCCAACCAGCTCTATAACACATGCTATTATTTCAGTTCAGAGTTAAAATAACATTACACATTTCTTTTCAGTGACCACATAATAAAAGATAATATATTGCTGAATATATAAAGCGAAACAAGATTCCAGCTGGCTTATTTTATATGCAAGATAGAAAGATTCAGATACGAAGGACAACAAAATATGTAAAAGGGTTCAACAGTAGGAATTAATACCTTCTTTAGCCACATAAGTCACAACATAAGTACCACCTTTTTACATAAATGATCGGATTCCTCAGCTAACTTCCACAAAATGAATGTAGGTAGAGCTACTGAAGGACAGGAAGCAGACTCTAGTGAATCAGAGCAGGTGACAGGGTTCTTGAGTAAACATCTTCCATTACCAACATGGTACATAACCTGAACACAAGCTGACACACGAGATGTTTCCCTTCCCCACCCCACACCCCCTTTCTTTTTTAAGCAGATAATTCACAGGTTGTTCATGTGAAAACATATTAAGTCAACAAACCACAGGAACAGTTCTTTAGATAGCATGATCTTATTGCACTTTCAGAGATCAGCATTTCAGACAGTGGTACAAAGCATAGTTGAACCACGCAAATGCATACAGTCCATTCCTCCCACCAATTCTTTGAAGCTCCATTTGCTTATTTTTATTCAGTGGGCTTTGTTGTGATTGAACAAAGTAGAAGAATAAGAGTATTTTAGAGCTGAACAGCTCTCAGCAACAAAATTAAGAGATTTGCCTTCAAGTCCTGGAAAGATATGCATATGCTGACGTGCTATTAGCATAATTATAGTTAGGTGTTCTATGTTATATAAGGGAGCCATGTGATGCTTTTAATCTTTTTAAATTCAATATATGCCAGTAAGATGTAACTTAGTCCATTTTCCCATAGAATGTACAGATTTCCTTCTGTGGTGCATAAACAAAAAGAGCAGCAGTCCCCATTGTAGGGTGAATATTATATTCTTCATTAATACAGTCCTATTTTAGATATGGAAACATGCATTTTGATATTTTTTCCATTTATCTGACAATTCATGCTTCTGGAATCCACAGATGAAGCTATCAATACTATATGCAAACAAGCACCTTCTATTATCTTTAATCAAAGATTAATAGTGAAAAAAATCAGGAAAGACTGGACAAAAGTATATACTCTTTAATGCATTGAGTATGATGGTGTAATGAAGTATTTCTTGTTGCTCAAAGGGGGACAGAAAACATGCAATGCTATGTCAGTATAGTCAGAGGAAGCAACTAAGCACGTATAGGTAATTGCAAACTTTGAGAAAAACGTGTTTTTTTTCCCTCCTGTTAAAAATCCATTTTTTTCCTGCCATTCTCTACACATCTGTGTAAGTAACAACTCACCAGGTATCAAAGGTGGTTTGTCTCTTTGAGTGGTTTCCCACTGTGCTGCTGTCTGCTGGTAACACAGAGGCTCTGGTTGACACGTTGTTCTCTATGTATGTGCTCTCTGGACGTGGAGATGGAACTGAACAGAGAAATAACAAAAAATACATATTGAGCTTTGCCAAAAATCCTATCTTGCAGTTGTCTCCTTCTTTTCTACCTCTTTTACAGAAACAAGAGAATGAAGACACAGTTGTACTTTATGTATGACTGAAAAAAAGCACACAGTTTTTACAATTTGGAAAGCTGTTATTTTACAATACTTGCAACATAGTATTAGGTGTAAAATGAGACCATCATCAGAACTTGAGGAAATTGTTACTAGATTTGAGAACATTTCTATCTGTAGGAAGCCAAAAGTGCAGTTGATATTTAAAAACAGGAAACAGAATAAAACACTGGAATGCTGTTATTAGAGACAAAAAATACTACAATTAAGACTGTCTTCATTTAGACCCTAAAAAAAAGTAGTACCCAATCCTGAAAAAAATTACTTTGGATTTTAACATAACTAGGATTAAGAGATTACTCACTAAAAATGGAAGAATCAAAATCAGGTATTATACATTTTTCAAACAGACATACTCTGGTTTTGGAAACAGGTTACACATACCTAGAGCATAAATTTATTAGAATTATGAATATCACCAGAAATACCTGCACTGGATTAAAAACTGATCAGGCACTAGTTGCAGCATTACTACAGCATCACACTATCCTAGCTATCAAAATTGAATCTGTAAGTTTTTGTTCAATTTTCCTAATCTTTTCCTTTCAATAGCTTTTGCATATACTGTTATCAACATGTTATTTAAATATAGTATCATTTTTCAAAACCAATAATTAAGTCTTTAAACTAAAATACATTTGTTTCATAGATACAGTTAAAGATGAAGAAAGGAACTGAATAAACCTTAGATCTACAGTTCTCTCAACGCATGACTTATGGGAAGTCATTCTTCCTTGCAACTTCTGTTTCACTACATATAAAAAAGAAGGATAATCCATGTTCAATTTTAGGAGTTTTTTAAGAATTAAGAACAGCAATTATGATTGAGGATTTTTAAATATTCTCTGTTGCATGTGCTATAAAACCTTATACTCAAAAGCATTGCTTAAAACAGTACAATCTTTAATATTGTTCACAGGTTTTAAGGTTGCAACGGGACGCTTGCAAGGATTGGCAGATTTTAACATGTCTAAATCAGGTCAACAGCCAGCTGATCAACCTGAAGAGGATCAGTGGGAGATTTGTGTCTCTACTTAAGGTTATTACGTGACTCATAATCGAATTGTAGCTGATTGATTGGGACTTCTTAAGGTTGAGGGGAGTCCCACAAGCCTCGTAACACTAGCAGGGCAGTGATTAGCTTCTAACCATCCTTGTCTTTTTCAAGAAGATTACACAGGTTTAGCCATGAGGCAGCTGCTCAGGAATCACCATCTTTGTGTACCATAACGGAAAAAGTTTTTTACTGTGGAGGTGGTGAGGCACTGGCACAGGCTGCCCAGAGAAGTTGTGGATGCCCCATCCCTGGCAGTGTTCAAGGCCAGGTTAGATGGGGCCTTGAGCAACCTGGTCTAGTGGAAGGTGTCACTGCCCGTGGAAGGGGGTTGGAACTAGATGAGCTTTAAGGTCCCTTCCAACCAAACCAGTCTATGATTCTATGATTAATATCTATTTGTGTATTTATATACACACACACATACACACACATAAATATATATGCACATGCATGGTCCTGTTTTATTATTTATCCTTAACTGGGATTATATAAGTGTGTTTTTGCCTGTAAGAAACCCTGATGTTTAGTAAGTCTGAACAAAATAAATGAACATGGGTTTTGAGCAATTAAAACCTAGCATTACAGTTCCATGCACCACAGTATCTGAAATCAGTATGTCAATGTGTTACACGTAAAAAGGTGTTTAGATATAGTGTTAATCAGAATGTAATACATGAATGAAAAACATTAATGAACTGCTTACTCTGTTAATATTATTTTGTTCAACTTCCCCTGATAAATTACCTTCTGCTTTACAAGGCACTGCACTGGATATACTTTTCAGTCAAAGTAAGTTATCATTTGCAAAGAAATAATATGATACCAGTACAGCTGCTGCACAAAACCTAGCAGGTCAACCCAGTCTCTGAAAGTGAGGTAACAATTCTTTTTCCAATTAACTTTTTTAGTTGTTTATGATACTTCACTGTATCCATTTCTACTACTTAAATTACATTCCATGTTAAAATTCTTGATTAATTTTGAAAGATCCACCATAAAATTACCTCTGTAAAAGCTGCCAACTCTTCTCGGAACAGGGTCATTATACAGAATTCGATTCTCCTTAGTAGATGCTCCATCTTCTGAGTGTGGATCATGATATGCTCCACCCTAAACAAAAGAAGGATCAACTCTTTAAAATGAAAGACTATAAACTGATTTTCAGTTTTTAACCAACGTACATAAGCAAGAAACCCCAAACTTAACCACACGCAATTTCCCTTTCATGGTACTAATAACTGTCAATATCAACTCAGAGACTATGTAATCAATAATTATTTGGTTTTCCTGCTTGCTTGCTTTTTCCAAAATGACAAAAATGGCATTAACAGAATTTTCTCTTTTAGCTGTAATTTTAAAGTCCTGAGCATGATTGAGACCCTCAGATTTTTGCTATGAATGAAACACAGCTGTAACATCTCTGGAGGAATCTTTTACTGGAGGCCTTGCAAAATTAGTTTCTGATAGATCTGGTCACTCTGCTATTGGCAATTTTTAAAAAGCAAACAGGAAACGCATATAATTTCTGACAATTGCAACACTAAAGCACTATCTCTTATCAGCCGTTATACAGTAGTACCTAGAGACAACAGCCACAAAATCTACTTTATGAAAAATGAGAGGTGTCCATGAACTATGAAATCTATAAGCTATATAGTTAAATCAGACAGAAGAGTAAAAAGAATACAATTACCTCTAACTTACTCTACTAAATGCAGTACTTCCTGGAAGTACTTGAAGCAAAAGCTTAAGTTAGACCTTAGAAACAACCATACGTATGTAATTTGCCACCAAATATGATTTAACCCCACTCTTAAATGAACCAGAGTCTGCAGTATGGACCAACCACATAAAATTGAATGCTCTCTAGAAGAACCCACAGGATACTGTACTGAAACCCCTATAAGAATTTAAATCTACAATGACCAAGAAAAAGGTTAAAAAACCAAATCCACAAAAAAAAACCCCAACCAGAATTAAAAATTGGGATTTCAATTCACTTTATAAGTGACTCACAAAATGTATTTTGCCTTTTATTAATGAAGATCTGGTCTCACTGTCACAGATAATACAACCCTTGAAACTGTACCAAGACGCAAATGCAGCTAAGGCAATGATTTAAATCAGAGTTTGACACTTCTAAAATTTACAAGAGGCTGAAGCATTTGATTAGGTTACTACTTGTGTAAGACATCTCTTCTTTGTCAGCAGTTGTTACAAACATGAGGCAGCAATAGCAACTTGTACTTGATTTTCTTCTGCTTGCCCTCTTTTGTGTATATTTAATTTCAAACTAAAAAGAACCCTTTAAGCAAGTGTTGTACTGACACTTGAAAAGCCCTAAAACTAATAGTGAATGCAAGTCTGGGTTTTTTTGTTGTTTGTTTTTTTTTTTTTTTAAGTAAAACCTAGCAAACAAAGAATGTTTTTCTTTAAAAAGACTTGGTAGCACTAAAGGGAAACCAATGAGAAGCTAGAAACATGGATGAGAGGAAACTTCACAAAATATGAGCATAGAAAGAGAGAACCAGTAGAACTGATTAGAAAAAAAAATGTAATAGGGAACCAATACAGAATCTTTGAGAACACTGATGTTATTCCTGATCTTTTAGTTCAGTAATCCTGAGGGAACTGAAGTTCTCTGATTTCTAATGCAGAATGTAGAAGAAAAAAAAAGGGAGGGAAGGGTAGGAAGGAGCCAAAGAATGCCTTCTGTGTGAAAATGCCCTTACAAGTTGTAAGAAGATTGACTATTTAATCCTGATTTGTTATGAAAGTAGTATAAACAAACAAAACCAGCTTTGTGAATTTACAGACTTGCCATCCTTTTCAGAAGAATATTTCTCCTTTCAGATTTCTGATGGTTGAAATACAGAATTAAGGCTTAATTTTAAAAATATTGACTATAAAGGCAAGTTCTTTACAAATGGTTAAGCATTCCAAAGCAAATGAAAATGAACAAAAACTTAAGCATTTAGATACACACCAATTTCTCTAACTAAAATAAAAATTTGTAATCCAATTGTCAAAAACCAAATAATGGTCTGATAAAAACAATCTGCCTCTACACAATATGAAATTAAATCAAAATTACTTATCAAATTAATATCTGCTCCATAATGCAGAAAAAGATCCTAATGTGTTGAAGAATACAGGGTAGCATGAGCTTTTATAATCAAAACCTCAAGCAAATCGAACATCAAAATGTTGGTATTATTGCCTTTTTACAGTAATATCCTGAAGAATAAGTAACGTTTGACCTGACTGAAATAAGAAATGACTACACACAAAAAAACCATTTTGAAATGGAGCTGCTGTAATCCCTTCTAAGTAGCTTTTTTTTTTTTTTTAATTACTTTGTATTTCTCCTGTTTTGATGAGATCTTTCTTGTGTGTGAATACACACAATCCTGAATGGAGGAGATGTGATAAGTATGAAAAAGCATATCACACCTTTTTTTGCCCTACTGGAATGTAGAGGGAAATGCTACCTGAAAACTCTTTTTTAATGGTACTTATAGACCACTATCAAGTCAGCTACACACAAACTAAGTAGGCAGAGTTTTTTAGTCTCTTATAGTAAAGCATGATTTTAGACCTTAAATAATACTTGCAGATCTTTGACTTCCTTCCAATTTGTCAACAAATCTGTACTAGGTGTTCTCTCCTTAGAAGTCACTGACGTACATATAGAGAAACAAACATTTTTATACTTCTCTCTGCACCATTTTGCTCCAATTTTGATCAATGTTAGGGTAATTTAATGATCTGGGGACAAATCTTTACACATCTGGTGTGTAAAACATCAGATAATTCAGAAGTGTTGTGTAAGGGATGTAAATCAACACCAGAACTAGCCCTTCCTCTACTCATTAAATAATGCTCACAGTAAAACACAACGAGATATCTAGTGACAGTAATCCCTGTAAGGGATCAATTTACCAGTGGCTTCTCCAACATAAAACCTCTAGGCTGACCCGGTTATTTATCATACTGGGCAAAAGAGATATTGCAAGTTTTGATACTCCTCTAAGTAAATTATGGCGTTTCAGCAATAGCTTCCTGCTATAAGTGAGTGAAAATCTCATGTCAAAAATTAACATCAGCATTCATAACAGAAATACATGCAAGAAAAACTGAATAAAAACACAAACAGGTTAATGAAGCAAAACAGTATGATAAAAATTACATGAGACAATCTAGCTAAAGACTAGTAACTACTAGTGAAATTTTAACTTCAGAGATTAAATTTTCTATTCTCATGTTTCAGTACTTCAAGAGATTTTATTAAAACATCCTCTCATTTTGCACTTGAAATACTTAGCCCTTCTGAAAAAACACAACATGCCTTGCCTTACAACATGACAAATAAATAAGTAATTGCAAACAGAAGACAGAAAGCAGGACACTGTCTCACATGAAGTAAAGAGAGGAAGGTAAGCCTTCCATAGTAGGCAACATTTTGAACTAACCCTATTAGAATCTTCCGTACAGTCTTCTCGTGATGAGCCAACAGATCTTGTGAGTGACTTATGCTGCACCTGTGGAGATAACAGTTGCAGGCTGTTTGCTCTGGCTGCCATCCCTTGCCCTACGCTTAAGCCACCCTCTGAGCCCTTTGACCTCACTCTGTCCCGGCTCACATACATAGAGTGTCTATGAGGGCGCTGCTGTGAAGAAAAAGGACTGGTATAACCTAGACCATAGGAAAAAGATTCATGTGGAGCAGATAGAGAGTGGGAATGGCTTCCATCCATGTGATCTGGCAGTTTTAACTCCTCCATTGTTTTGGAGTGTCTTGTTGGTGGTCTTCGGGTGTCCAGGGTACCCTCACCACGGTTATTCCTTCCAGATGGACTGAGCAAAGTTCTGTTATCGCTGTGTCGGGGAGCAGTTGGACTGGTAGGAGAGTTCAAGTCCATACAGCTGGATGGAAAGTACCTACTGCTGTTTGGTTCTGCAGCTTGGGCCCTGGCCTCAGAGAGGTTGCCCACAGATTTTGAGTCTGTCAGAACCCCATGGCTCTTTGACTTTGTCCGATACGAAGGACTCTTAGAAGACTGTGGGATAGTATCAATATAGCTGTGGCGACTGTGCTTATCACCAGGCTGCAGTGTCCCAGTTTTGCTTTGAGAAGTTTCCATAAATGAGTGCCGGTTCTGCTGAGATCTGGTGTTAGACTTCAGGTATTTTGAGCCTGAACCATCAGAACTTTTTGGGTCCACATTAAAATCAAATTCTGTTTTTGCCTTTGTTTCCTTTGGGCTGAGAAGGTGTGGCATGTTATTATTGGCTAGATCCTTGTTGCCAGATCCAGGTGTGTTGCTTGATTTTTTTGCATGCATTGGACTATGTGCAGCTCCAGGAAGGTTTCCATTTAAAAAGCTTTCATTTGCTGGAAGACCCTCTTCTCTTGGCCCGCCAGCACCTAGTGCCTGTATATCCTTGCTGTTTGATCTGTGGTGTGACTGCAAAGCAGAACTTTTGCTGGCTTGATTTCTACATTAAAATGCATAAAGAAGCATTAATATACCATATTACATATTCATCATATAATAATTTCAACAAAAGTACACTCATTTCAGAAAGGAGTTGCCATTTAAAACCACAAAATTTAACTGCAGTAAGATCGAATCCTGCCAACTAGGCATCAGAAGCTCCACTTAAATAACATATTTGCAAGTGTTAGTATGTTGTTGTTTCTGGTTATATCCTGATGGAAAAACTCAGCTTGGTTAATGGATTTTGCTGACAAAGTAAAATATGAGGATATAAAATCCAACCATAGACATTCCAACATATATTTACACATTTATGCATGTGAGTAATATATGTGCATATCAATAATCTAAGCACCACATTATGAAAATTAAAACAAATCTTAAATACACCTGGCATATCAAAGTGAAGGTAGAACAATGAAGTATGTCAGCAGTGTCAAAACAACTCGATACAATCAATGCTCCAGGCTATCTAATGTATGTCTGATTCGGAGAGGGAGGGGAAGGGGAAAAGAGGTTATTGTGCTGGTAAAAACATCCAGATAGAGTGCGCCTGAGCTCAGTCCAGCAGACCAAGCCCTGTAACACCAAACCTAATTTGATTTCCGTGTTTGCCACAGGAACCCAACTTTTTTTGGAACTTGGCACTATCCCAGCTCTTGACACACTAACTCATCTCCAAAGCTGCATCCAAGAGGTTCAGCAACCAGACTGACTTGGCCCAGAGCTACTTAGTGATATCCTTAACCTCTACTCTACTTTCCAGCTCTTGGTTTTGGGGTTATTAGGACTGAGATATGAGTTGGTTCTGCAAACATTCAGCCTGAATTTATTTAAGCAGGATTTATTATCTCAGGTTTTCTGGCATAAAACCAGTTCTGCTTCTGGACTTATTCTGGCATTGCAAACTAGCCACGTCTGGGCAATGCTGTAGCTACGGTTGTTAGTCTTGATGGACCTAGGCAGGCTAGGTTAACTTAACTTACAGCTAACTTATTTTTGTATCAAATCTATGATAATGATGTACCTCAGAGATATTACTGGGTGTTAAAGTGAGAGCTCACTGATGAGTTTGTACCTTTGTTGATCTTGTTGATAATTATAATTGGATACTGCTAGCCATTTATGTACCTAGGATTTTTGTATTACACTTTATCACAGTTCATAAAAATTCTGCAATTTTAATGACAGTTTAAAATATCTTTTATTTAAAATGAAGTCTTTTTTTTGTTTTGTTTTGTTTTTTTTTAACCTTAGAAATATAAGGAATATAGTAATTTTAAATCAAGCTGCTTGGCAAGCCTTTTAGGCAGGAAGTTCCCCAGGGATCTAAGTTTTGATGTGGCATTTTTATGACGCTACATCTCTAACGGTAAAACTTCTATCCTAAGAAGATATCTCATATCTATAGGAGCAGCTAAAACTTTTTGGTGTCTAGCTCTGAAAAAGTATAGATTGTGTATTCCACCATCCCAAATCTTAAAAAGAGTAATGTTTTTGAATCTCACAGGAAGAACCACCAAAAAACATGGCTAGGATTAAAACCCACTATTGTTCTGCTATACTTCAGCGGGTGGCCTTTATGAAAGCTTTTGTCAGAGAAATACCATGAGGCTTTTTGTACTGAAGTATCTATCCACCAGTAAACCTGGTTCCTTGATGTATTAAAACCACTCGGCTTCTCTCAAGCTATGTGGGTCCAACAAGGGAGTTGCTGAGCAAATACATCCTGCTTTAAGTTTGAGTAGACTAGAGTTGATTTATAACCGCAGAAGAATTCTGTTCATGCACAATTTGGAGCATGACCAATACACATAGTTTTCAGGACACTTAGCTGCTAAAAATCTGTGCAAATTTTGAACTTTCAAATATCAAAACCTTGGACCGATTTGCACATGTACAATAATGGTAGCATTCCAAAGAAAAGAGCATTCCTTTGGAATCTCAGGCACCCTCCAAGCCACAAAATTCCTTATGTTGTTCAAGAAAAAGGCTAATGTTTTTAAGACAGGTTAGCCAACTTAATTTTCTTTGTCATATGCAGAAATGGCTTGAATGCTGTCTTTTTCTTTTTTCCTTTTCTTGTTTTTACAAGAAGCATTCAGCCTGCTGCAAAAACTCAGCAAGAATTTCACCTTGAATAGCTATAATACAGTAAAACTGTGTCTACTTCCTTTATTCAGATAGACATAGAATCACAGAATCATAGAATAGTTAGGGTTGGAAAGTTCCAACCCCCCTGCCATTAGCAGGGACACCACACACTAAACTATGTCGCCCAAGGCTCTGTGCAACCTGGCCTTGAACACCGTCAACATGGAACAGTATATATGTCTCAATATGCCTAAACAACTACTTTTCTTTTCTTGTAGATGGTGGTTTATGTAAGCATGATATCAACTCATTGACAGAGCAAATGTCAGTGATGACAGTGACATGACTATGTTTACCTGTTAGATAATGTGTTGCTGTCTACGTGGTAAGGTTTTCTCTTAGCTGACCGCGAAGGTGAGCTCCCACAGCGATCCAAGAGTCTTTGGGTTTGAAACGAAGGATGGTTCAAACATTGTTCTGTCAAATATCTATCTGCTGGATCTAACTTCAGTAAGTTCTTTGGAAAACAAATCCCAAAGTTTAAATGTTAGTATCTGTCTTTGCATCAGCAAAAAATATAACAAAATTCAGAACATACATAGTTTTTTACTCTACAGAGTTTCTGTGATTAGATGCAACTGCTAAAATAATTTCATGTTGCATTAAACTACATAGGCTACAAGATAAACACTTAAAACCCCCTATGTTCTACTTGAGATGGAAGTTCTCAGCGTTGCTTATTATGAAACACATATATATATAATGAATATATGTATGCATACATATAGTTATATACTTGTGCTTAAAATATGCTTAAAATAAAAAAAATAGCTAAAAAATTTAAAATATGTTTTACGTATATACCTATATGTGTTTAAATTATATATATTTTAAGCATATTTTTCAGGATATACCTTACAACAATGTTTTTTAGAACGAAAAATATTAAATTTAATGGTAACAAAATGCTACAATGAAACAGGCTTAACAAACAGAACAAGCATATGGGAACATTCTTATCCAAACAAAAATAATATTTTAAAGTTGGTATTTCAAAAAATATACAAAAATAAGAGTTCTGGTTTTTACTTCCAGGATTCAAGTACACCCAGTAAAACAGTATTTTGAGAAGTTTGATACATTTCTTACAGAACAGGGCAATACAAAACTTATCTTGGAATATCTGAACATGCACTACTGTCAGCAAGGCTATTAAGTAAAAAGAATAGCTTTTTTTACAGGTTGAATAGAGAACAACACTGTGTATATATGCATTAACACAGTATTTGGCTACTTGACCTCAAAAACTGCATTAGCACAAAGGTTAGGCCACTTTGGAAGGCCCAAGTCCAGCTGGAGCTAAAGCAAATGGAGAACATCAAGGGTAGAAAGAAGGGGTTCTACAAATATTCTAGTAATAAACAGAAGCTCAGAGCAAATGCATGTCTGCTGCTGAATGGGGGAGACAACTGGACGACAGATGATATGAAAAAGACTGAAATACTCAATGCCTTTTTGCCCAAGTCATCACATGCTCCCAACCCCAAAATGCATGCTTGAGAAACAGCATGATTTGTGAGAGAGAGGGAAAGCGAGCAGTAAGAAACACAACAGGGCCAGATGGGTGCCTCTTCATTAATCTAGCCCTGAAATGCTTTCTAATCAGAGATACATCAATAACTCACTACTTTAGCTGCTTAAGTTGAAGTGTGGGGTTATTCAGTAATCTAGTAATCAGATCTGAGGTCCCTGGGAATGCAGATAATGAGAAACACACCAAGCGTGGACATGTGCCAGACTGTCCGGTGTCTGGAGAAGAGACAGGCAAATAGCAAAGTATTTGCAGCATTTGTAGCATGCAACTTAACCACAAGTCTCTTCTGCTCCTTGTAGTCTTTTGCTTATTCTTTCAAAAGTTCCAAGTCCTGAAGTAAGTAACGTAGGTCAAACACAAAATAACCCCTCTACAAAATCCTTGACCTTTCTCAACTTAGAAGAAGAAATATGGACAGAAAACTTGTTTACCTAAAATTAAAGTGCTTTATTTCACAACTTTGTAACTTTCAAATCACACCAAAAGAACCCAGAAGACACTGAGATAGAACGTAAAAATTAGGATAAAATTAAAATAAACCCCACGCCAGCATGTGTAACAGTGAAGAATGATGTTCTGCAATATATGCTACCACAGCTTGAGCTACAGCTAACTAGGATGCCAGAAAAAAGTTTCTGTGAATTAAAAAATAGATGAGAATGTATAATATTAGATGAGAATGTATAATATCAGAACCAGCAGGTTTTGAGGTACCTAATTTTGCAGACTCCATAAAGGCAAGATAAAAGCTATGCTGACTCTTTTCATGAGGCAGGGAGATTAAATGAAAGCAATTTGAACCAGTTGTGTTGAAGAAAAGAGTAGAGCAAATTTGGTGTATTTCTGCTGGCTGCATCAGTACTGCTAAAAGCAAGTAAACACCCAAGTATACCCCAAAGCAGCTGACCTTGGTTTCCAAGACAGCTGGCACAGATGGGCTTGGGACTACACAATTTAGAATTGATTAGCCATAGCTATGCTTCATACTTGTCACAGATTGCTTTTAATTCTTAGGTGGTACCCGTGTGATTCTAAACCTAATTTTTGACACTATGACTTTTTTTTCAGCTTACTGTGGATGAAATAAAGGGCGGGTTGTACTGCAGCTTACCATGTGATGTTTTTATAGTATAATAATAAAAACAATAATACGTGTTGCATACCCAGAAACATGGCACAAATGGATAGCACAATGCTTTACACTGTTTGGCCATTTTGAGGAGAGCCAGCTTACCCTAATCCCCTGTAAGAAACTTTCTTGGGACAATGTCCTAGTTTGGCCATGGGCAAACGAGCTGACTTGTTCCAAAACAGGACTGAAGAGTAACTTAACATACACACTGTGTAGAGGTGAGGGACAGCAAGTAGATTAAGGATTTAGATTAAAAAAAAAATAAAATACTGTGCTTCAACTTTGTCTTTGACAACTGTCCACATCCTCATGCTGTTCCAACAACAAACGAACAACTCCAGTTAGCCTAAATACTCTGTTAATTTACCTAATTTTTTTACTGGTTGAGAGCTCATACTCCAGCATTACTAAGGTAACCTGTTCATCTGAATGTATGTCAGTGTGAACGCGTATTGCTGCAAATGATGGTGATTCTTTTTTCTGGATTAGATATTGTTTATCAAATCAGTCCAGCTTGAACACTCTCCTGGCATTTGCAAATTTGCAAGGGGTATTTTTCTGATTCCTAGGAAATACCAAGCCATGCTACAAACAACAGCGATACCAAAATATCTCAAAGGAAGTTCACAAGTACTTTTAAGGCGCATTATATTGGGAAACAGATACAAAAAGTCTCCTACATATTACAGGCAGAAAATACGTTTTCCTACCTTCATAAGATCAAGCAATACACCACTTAAAATGCCCAAGTATCTTCTCTCTAAAGACTGTGGATGATTGACTGCTGGAAACTGTAAAAATAATATAGCATAAATATACTGGTAGTGTAAACAAGGTATACATGAATACAGTTTTTTGGTTTTTTTTGCTTTGTTAACAAGGCAAAGGTCAAGTAAGACAAAGAATTTTTCTTTTTATGAAATGAAAGAAAAGTTGCTATTTCATTGCTAAAATGTATCATCAAGTACAATGTGTTGAAAAGAAAGATCCATTTCTTGACTACATTTAACTGACAACAAACAAATAGATAAACTCACTTCAGTGCTGTTAAGTTCAAATTCAAAACCTAAAATAAATGCCAGTGTTTTCAGAATTAGGAATTAAGGCTGAATTTCCAGCAGAGGCATAAAATCCCTCATGGACCTAACTTATGCTGATTTTAAAGAAATATGCATTAGAATACCAGAGAAGACTGGAAAAAAGTCAAAACAAATCAAACCAACAATCAGCCAGCCTATTGCATTAATCACCGTTTATCCAAAACTATGCAACTGAGATCTAGACACTTTGTTAGCAGTTCAAAGAGTTGTGGAATTTGCCTAATACTATGCAAGTGTTTCAGTTGCAGCTTGGCTTGATCCCATCCACAACCTATGTATTTTCTAAAAAGTCCTCCTAAACTAAGACATCAAAGCAAGAACACTCACAATAGGAGGCACATAGTGTTCTTGCCTACAGGTACCTGAAAGCCATCACTGTATGTCCAAACGGGCTCAAGTCATACATAAAATATAACCACATAAAATACTGATTTATGGTTAAAAATCACTGAAAATACAAGAAAGCAATAAAATTCAAGTCAGTGATAAAGACAAACAGCAACAACAACAAAATATCAACAAACATGAAGATAAATATTTCACATGGTGTTTGCTATGGTATAAAAACAGATGAAAGTTACATGTTTGGTCTAAAAATGCCAATGAGCAGGAAGTATTGAAGACTTTCATTCCTTTACTTTCAGTTGAGCATTTTTCAGCTCTCACATCTAGGGCTTGCCTATATTTACATGTTCACCTTCCTCAGATTAAATACTACCGTCAAACCTATGCTTTAAAGAGCAACCCAGAATAAACACTCATTTCCAAAAATGCATTTTATTTGGAAGCAAACTGCACTGCATGTGCATTGTATATGTGTGTTAGACCACTATGAATTGCTGACCATTTGTCAAGACCATAAATTCACCTTTCTAAGCAACATTAATGAATAAAAAATGCCAACCAAAACTGAGTTACAAGGAAACATGAGTACAATCACTGACCAGGTATTGTTAAAGTAAACAGAGCTATTGCTTATGTATATTGCCTCTGGGATTTTGCCATATTGCACATCCCAGCTTGAGCAGCTTCTTCACACTACTGTATCTGCCATTACATGGTATAGGCAAATCCCTGAAAGGGGAACAATGCTGACACTAGGAAGAGCTTTTTCACCCACCTGGCTTATATCAACTCTCCAGGACTGTAAGTCAAAAGGCAAAATGCTCTTCTGCCATTACAGCAGCATCTACGGCTTAGATTTTTCCAACACAGTAGCCTGATTACAGCAGGCATGAGTTTTCCATACCTCGAACTGACTACCACTAAATTTCACAGTGTCAACCTTGCAGGGTAATGCTAAGCTGGGTGTAAATGCTAACTTGCATGTCAAAGAAGTCAAAGAAATGAAAGGCAAATCTTAATTCAACTTTTAGCAGCACAAATAACATAAACTCAGTACTGGTGTGATCAGAATTTTACTTCAAATTATGAATGCCTTATAGTCTAAATATCCTATACTTACACAGAAACACACGCAATGCATAATGCACAATGTAAATGAAAAGAACCTTCACAGCAAGAATGACAATACTGTAAATACTGTGCGAGTAAATAAAGTAATAAAAAAAAAAGGAAGAACAAAGCTTTCTCTTACCCGCAAGCCATGGAAGCGTGGGTTGCTATAGAAGAGCTTCATCTGCTCGGCTGGCAGCGGGCCTAGCACCTTCTGAATGGTAAAGAGTTGGTCAATCTCGCTCTCACCAGGAAACAAGGGCTGCCCGTCACTCAGCTCTCCCAGGATACAGCCTACAGACCACATATCCACAGCCTTTCCATAAGGGGCTCTGTAAAGTGAACATACAATGTTTTTCACCCACTGACACTGTCTTCTTACTGAGCTGTTTCAATTTACAGGCCATATTTCCCATGGCCTTCTTCCTTACAACACATAAAAATAGACTTTAATATTAAAGAAACTACCTCAAATACCAAGTCCTCTGTTTCTGCCATGGATTGCCTGATGTATCATTGCTTGAGACAGCATGAGCAGAATTCTCAAGTACCCCAAGGGATCTGGCTACCTTTGTGAAAAATCTTACCCACAAGAATAGTCTGTCTGACTGTGAAGCAGTTACCATTCCCAGTTAAACTAGCATTAACTTCTCTGCTACCCAGGGTTTAATGACTGTGCTCTATTTCTGCATTACATTTCTTTTTTCACTGTGTTCAATAGGTGGATAGGCATCTTGGGTTTGACCACTGGGACAACAGAAATGATACGAAATCTTTGTTGCAGCATTCATACATTGAAATTTTTAATCAGAGAGAAAATAGAATGTCCCTGAAAGCTATTCCTTAAAAAGCACAGGTGGGGAAGAAGTGAAAGTATCATAAAACAGGTAATTCCTGTTTTGGAGCAAAATCACAGAAGGAGGTTTGGGGAGGAATTCTGATTTGTAGTCTCTGTGTGTGCAAGCAATGTTGTGTGGTAAGGAAGATGGCATCTCATACTTTAAACTGCTAGTAACAAAAGATGCTACGTCAGCAATGAAGGTATTTAACAGAAGAAGAGGCAATATGGATACTCTAGTCAGGAGAGACTTGAAGATGGTTTGTAAGACATAGGACACAAAATAGGAATGTAGAGAACGGAAGTTTGTGTGAAAAGAAGAGAGTTGTAGACTACTGTACCATTCATTCTAAAGTCACGAACATTGAAGAAACAGAGAATCGCTGGAGAGGGACTCTTCATCAGGGACTGTAGTTATAGATCATAGAATCATAGAATAGTTAGGGTTGGAAAGGACCTTAAGATCATTTAGTTCCAACCCCCTTGCCATGAGCAGGGACACCACACACTAAACTCCAACCTGGCCTTGAACACAGCCAGGGATGGAGCATTCACAACTTCCTTGGGCAACCTGTTCCAGTGCCTCACCACCCTCACTGTAAAGAACAGTAATATCCTTATATCTAATCTAAACTTCCCCTGTTTAAGTTTAAACCCATTACCCCTTGTCCTACCACTACAGTGCCTAACAAAGAGTCCCTTCCCAACATCCTTAATAGGCCCCCTTCAGATACTGGAAGGCTCCTATGAGGTCTCTACGCAGCCTTCTCTTCTCCAGGCTGAACAGCCCCAACTTTCTCAGCCTGTCTTCATAAGGGAGGTGCTCCAGCTCTCTTCTCATCCTTGTGGCCCTCCTCTGGACTTGCTCCAACAGCTCCGTGTCCTCTTTATGTTGAGGACACCAGAACTGTACACAATAGTCCAAGGGGGAATGGGTTTAAACTTAAACACAGAAAGTTTAGGCTAGATATAAGTAAAAAGTTTCTTTACTGTGAGGGTAATGAGGCACTGCAACAGGTTGCCCAAAGAAGCGGTAAATGCTTAAACGCTGGCAGTGTTCAAGGCCAGGTTGGACAGAGCTTTGGGTGACATGGTCTAGGGTGAGGTGTCCCTGCCCATGGCAGGGGGATTGGAACTAGATGATCTTAAGGTCCTTTCCAACCCTAACTACTCCATGATTCTATGTCAATTTCTGATTTTCACTCTAAGATTCTGTTCCTCTTCAAGTTTGTTTAGCTGCCCACGTCAACTGTACAACAGCTAATGCATTACATACTTGTGTCTGTTCATTGTTCCTACTACAGACTGATGCAACTCCTTTTCTATATGTTTGAGTTCTTGCCTGTTGAATTTGTAAAAAAATTTTGTAAACATCCAACTTCAAGAATCTCTTTTGGATGTTTAGGTTGTGAGCAGAATAACTGGAGAATCCTTCTCTTGTAAAAGAAAAGGCATATAAAAAGAATAAAGACTGGAACAAAGACTGAACTGAAACCATATCTCACTGAGTCTCTTTTGAAACTTGTAATCCAACAACTCAGCCTCTGTTTCAAGATATTTTTCAGTTACAGCTGGCTTGCCTATTTCTGGAATAAGACAGCACCAAGAGTTGGAGGTGGCAAATCCTATGCTAAATCTGTTTCCTTTGCTCCTTCCTTATGATGTCCTTCAATAAATTCTTCGTGGCTAGTAAAAAGCTAGCATCATCCTTCTGAGTCCTTACCAGCACTTCAGCAGTGCTGGTGAAGAGTAACTGGAAATGAAAACCAAATTGCAGTTTTGACCGAAAGGATGAAGAGGAGTTTAATGTGGTGAAAGGTGCACTACCATTGCTATGTGAGTCCACCACAAGGCTGATGGAATATCTTAAGCTACAGGACTACCATGGAAACCTCTTATGAAGGGAATAGGAAGGCAGGAATCTGAACTACAACTGTTATAATTCAGCTTCATATTTTAATCAGTTGAACACTGCTCAGCTCAAGACAAATTAACATGTCTATGATTCATACTGACTTACTGGAAATAGACAAAAATTAATGAAAATCTGGAAGCCTCTTGAAATCTTCCCTTTAAATCAACAACAGCTCTCTATGGGTAAATCTTACAAAAGGTGCTTGGAAAAAAAATATATAAAGAATCAGCCAAGATTTATCATCATAGTTCTACAAATTGTACTTACCCAAGCAAGAGTTCAGGTGAGCGGTACCATCTGGTAGCCACATATTCTGTATAGTTAGCATTGCTTCCTTCAGAGAGATTACGAGCAAAGCCTGTCAACAAAACAGTGTGAAAGATTATATCCTATTTTAAATAGAACATGCATAACACCATGGATTTTGGCAGTTAAGAGATCACGCCTATTTATATAGAAGTGAATTGTTTACAACTTCTGGTGTAGAATGATTTCTGCAACTACTGCTTGTCTACGGAATTGCAAGCTTTTATTGTGTACTCTTCTCAGAAGTCTATGGGGTTTTGCTATTACTTTTGGTGCTTTGCCATAATCAAAACAGATTGATAAAAATTACCTGTCAGTACGCCGTGCAAGTTATTGAACTATTGCCACTAAATGTCACTGAGATGCTGTTTGCAGGATTCATAACATTAGAAACAACACTCTTCCACTCATGGATCCTAACTACTACAGTCTCACTACATTCAAATTTTTAAATTGGTCAAGAAACTATGTATTATTCTCATCTAAAGACTCTCCCTCCCTGACCCAGGCACAGCAGTGAGACTGATTGACCTGTAGTTAGGATGTGGCATTAAAACTTGGTCCAAAATTCCCTTCAGTGAAATCCCTGAGTCTTTCCATCATTGCATGAGTGATGAACAAAGAATAAAAATTCCAAAGTGTTGCAGAGGTATAAAGCATAATTTAATTTTCAGAATCAGTAAGTGCTACTTCAATGCACTTTTTTTACTCAAGTAATTTTTCTTTATATCTGAGTTCTTATGCAGAAGCTGCCAAAATCTCTTTTCCCTCACAACTTTGGTTGTAAGGTTGCAATTTTTAAGTTTTTTTTTTTTTAATTCTGAAACTATCTCATCTGGCAGCTTTGTGTGAGGAAGCCCAGCCATTATTATTATTAGAATATTGATTTGAGAAAACAATGATAAATGTGTTAATGCCATAGGTTACAGCTGTTATTTTTGGCAAGATAGCCCTATCTTCAAGAATTAGTAAACTAAAAGGCACATATGATGAGAACAGATATTTCAAAGTTGTCCCAAAACAATAATAATTCTGTTCTATTCCCATGAAGTCTAATAAACATTACTGATGCTGCTGGAGAAAAGCTGGAAAAGAATTTTTTATTACTTGTAACATTGGGATTGAGTAAATTTCTAAACATTATTATTATATTAAGAACTGGTTAGGCATCCCTGTTTCTGTTTCAAATTACTTGACCTATCTGATTAATCCTGTCCGTGAAAAATCTTTCACGAGAGAGGGAAGATAACCAGGAGCTGTATTGAAGAACTGGGACTGCCAAAATGAACAGTGGGAAGCCCCAGACTGAAGCAGGGTAGGAAACAAAGGTAGATGACACATGATACAAATAAACTCATGTGTTAATGTAACACAAAAGCCCAGAAGCTCACGAGCTCATGTGCACCAGAAAAATCAGCAAGTCAAGGATGCATCCTCCTCCCTCCAAGCCAGTTTACTGGAATCTTGTCACAGTCAGGAGCTACTATGTCCAGAAACCACCAGCAGCTAACATAGTCTGAAAAATTAGCCCCAACTTCACAGGCTAGACACAGTATGGATTTGATGTGGCAAGATATAAAGCAATATTCTTGTCAAGGGCTTCAGTGTTGAGTGATGTAAGAAACCATTTTATGGATTCACTACTACTCTGATGCTATGACATCATGATGAAAGATAATGGACAGAATTATTCAAAAACCTTAATACCTTCCTACAGGCACAATTACTTTTTTTTTTTAAGTCATGGTGGAGTTAGCTTATTGTTCCTTCCTCCAAGTTGTGCTGAGGTATCGGGAACAATTTTTTGATACAAAATAAGAGAAGGTAATTAGGGAGAAGATTAGACCCAACTCTAAACAGTGAGAAGGAACAGATAAGAAGATTAAGACAGAAGACGATTTGGGAGAGCAAGTGTGAAAGCAATAGCATTTGCAAATGCACTGTGATGCAAGAAGAGAGAACAAGCAAAATAAGAAATTTCAAGAAAGGACTTTAAACAGCTCAGAACACGGTAAGAGAGATGTCAAGAAGAAAGGTGTAAGGAAAAAAGAAGATTGAACTTCTTATAGAGAAATAAGGCGAATTTAAATTAGACATATGGTAAAACATTCTAACACTAATGACATGTAAGTACTTTAATAGATGCTTAGGAACACTAGGTAACCACCATTATTCAGAGTTTCAAGAATAAGCTAAGTGAACACCTGTCAAGAATGACAGAGACACGCTTAATCCTTTATTTGAGTAGGTGTAAGAACCAGAGGATTTCTTGAGGTCTTTTCCAGTCCTGTGTTTCATGATTTCTATGCTTACGCATCGTACAGAAATAAAGAGATTGCTAAAACAAGTAATTTTGAAATCCTGGTGTTGAAACAGCAAACACATTAATCAGAAAGCCTATTTCCAATAGTCAGATGTATCTGCTGTAATCGGCATTTTGTACTGTTCTCTTTTTCTACTCCTATTGGCAGAAAGGACACCCACACAACATGTGTCCAGGCAATCACCATATTCAATCTCATTTTTATCTAGCACAATATGTACAGAACACATGGCACAAAGATTATGAAAAACTATCTTATTAAAAATGTATGAACTTTGCTATTCAGACTGTTTTGTCCAGTGCGCTATTCAGAAACATCCAATTACTTCTATATACACATTGGGATGGATGCATAGACCTCTGGTTGATGACAAGCTTGACATGAGTCGGCAGTGTACGCTTGCAGCTTGTACAGTTCTGGTGTCTTCACCAGAGGACATGGAGCTGTTGGAGCAAGTCCAGAGGAGGGCCACGAGGATGAGAAGAGAGCTGGAGCACCTCCCTTATGAAGACAGGCTGAGAAAGTTGGGGCTGTTCAGCCTGGAGAAGAGAAGGCTGCGTGGAGACCTCATAGCAGCCTTCCCGTATCTGAAGGGGGCCTATAAGGATGCTGGGGAGGGACTCTTCATTAGCGACTGTAGTGATAGCACAAGGGGTAATGGGTTTAAACTTAAACAGGGGAAGTTTAGATTAGATATAAGGAAGAAGTTCTTTACAGTGAGGGTGGTGAGGCACTGGAACGGGTTGCCCAAGGAAGTTGTGAATGCTCCAACCCTGGTGGTGTTCAAGGCCAGGTTGGACAGAGCCTTGGACCACATAGTTTAGTGTGAGGTGTCCCTGCTCATGGCAAGGGGGTTGGAACTAGATGATCTTAAGGTCCTTTTCAACCCAAACCATTCTATGATTCTGTGATTCTTTGCATTTGTTGTCACATGAGGAATGTGGCACTCTATGTGACAAGTACCTGTGTTCCAAAATAAGAATTAAGTTAGGTAGGCAGACATTTTACAGGGTGAATTCTTATATCCTTATCTGTATATGTTCAGGAAACACTTGTGGCTAATGTTGTTGACAGACATTTTACAGTAACAGCTTAAGCTACTAGCAATAATGTCAATTAGCAATAAGACTAAAAAATTAAAACTGATCCTAAATTGCTTGGAAATTTAAATTCAACTAAATCTAAAATATTTGTCAAAAGTCACACTAACATACATAAGAAAAACAGAAATTCCCACAATTTAGTCTTCTTTCCTTGAGATTGTGCTGAGCACCACGAGTACATTGTGACTGCATGTATTTTCCAACAGTAGAAGGAAAATATGTCTGCAGCATACAGTGTGAGCAAAGCAATGGACCACACAGAACGTCATTGCTAGTAGAATTCACATCATCTAGTGAGAAAACGGATGTCCAGAACACAATTGTACCATTTGTTCAACTTTATATCTTCCTGTAATACTGTTGCACAGAGGATGCTGACATGAGTTCACATGCAATCTGTTAGCTGATGCCATATACCAACTCTAATGGTGAATATTACTTGAAGGGGGGAGGGCAAGGGCCAGGGAAGGCTCTTCCCCATGGACATGGAAGGAGCTGAGGGTGAACAGTTCCCATCAGGACCCCATTGGGTGTTCCTGCTTGTGATGTTGTTAGCCCTGATTGGAGCAGACATTAGTCAGGGGCAGGTGTTGCCTGCTGATTGGTTGTTAAACTCTGTGCAAGGCAGTGACTGGGTCCTGTGCTCCCTAATGGCTCAAAGCTAGTGCGGAGAAGGAGCAAGGAGTATGCTACACCAGCCCCAGTGGGAGACCCCTGCTCTGCCAGCCCCAGAGGGGTTTCCTTTGCACGGGGGCAAGGCCCTGAAAATGAGTGTAGGGTAAGGGAAAAATCCTGCCCACCAGCTCTGGGCAACAGTGCCAGGGCAGCCTGGGCACAGAGCTGCCGGGGAGGGTGGCCACAGCACTGTAGACAGGAAGACTGTGGATACCAAAAAGACAAAGGCAACAAAAAGGCAAAGGCACTGAGGGCACCACACACAGTACCCTGGTGTTCTGTCAGAGCTGTGCAGTTCCTTACAATGCAGAATAAATTGCCCTTAATTCAAAGTACTCTCATGGACAAAATCTTCTAAGACTTTTCCTAGAATGTTTATTGTTTCTGAATGCTTAAGCAAAAATGCCTTTAGGATTAAAAGAAATGAGCAACACTGCAAATGACAAATGCCTTTTTTGTGTTCCTAAAAAACCTGTTTCAATCTAGTTTTGGGGTTTTTTTTTCAGTTCTTCTTTTCATTCAAAATTGCAGAGGTTTGAAATGACAGCTTACAAACCACTCTCGCTGAAAGTGCCCTTGGGTAGCACTATGGAATTGTTTTTTTATTTACCAAGCCAAACTGTAAGCTTTTTAGAGGGAAAAATACTTTGCTCTGTGTTTCTGTAGTATTTAGAATAAAAATACAGATTGTTGGAACAGCATACACTCTGCTCTGTTGTCTTCTGGGGATTACTCACACGGGCAAAGTTCACCTTGTGCTTGGGTGCTGATTCTTCAAAGCCATAAATCTGACATTAAACAGGTACTTATAGGTCAGGAAACACCAAAGTTTACATATACAACTCTGACTCTAAGCTCCAACCATTCAGTCATTAATAATATGCGGACATGTGATTCCTTCATTAACACAACCATAAAAGTTGACCTATAACTACACACATAACAGCCTTTGAAAGCCAGTGGTTCAAAAACCAAATGAAACCTGTAAGTTTATTGTATCTTTACTAAACAAGGGAAAATTATCTTTTAATACACAGGCCAGATATACCTACGGTTTTGGTAGCCTCCTTACCAGCTTATTGTCTGCACTCTTTTCAGCTGCATGCCAATAATACTGCTACTAAAAGCCTTGTCAAATATAGGAAAAGATAAATGCAGCATTTCTATCTACATGTGAATACAGGCATTTAACAGGGCATGAAAATTAAGCCCAGAGATCTTCTGAATTAAAGAACTAGCCACCAACCAGAAGTAAGCAATTCTGACCACTAAAAGAGTTTTAAACAGCACATACTGTAGAACTCCTATAAGGATAAGGCAAATCTCCACTGCAAGAAATTTTCTTTAAAGAGGTTAAGAAGCAAGTATCTATTGAACTTACCAAAGTCACACAACTTCAGCACATCATTGTGGCTTATTAAGAGATTCTCTGGCTTGATATCTGGAGTATCAGAGAGGGAGGGAAAAAAAATGCTGTTAACTTCTCTTTTTAATTTTGAATTTTGTCAACAAATATTATTTCATTATAACATATTTAGAGTTATTCATGCAATTGTAAACAAAGCATTACAAGAGCAACTGCTGAAACAGCTTCCAGCTATTCAGTTTGTGAACATGCAGAATTAATTTTCTGCCTTTTGAAGTCTTTTTAAGTGTTTCCCAACAAAATATTGGAAGATAAAAGGTGCTTACAGATATTCCTGGGCAGCAAACCAATATACAGAATATAGCATATTGCAAAATACTACAAAGAACTGACATTTAATCACCCACTTAACCAATAAGACATGTGTTGTGCTCAGCTTTTTCAGTTATGACGATCTTCTTGATCACCTCTTGTCCTTTGTTTACAAAAAAGTGTTGTCTAGCTTTAAACTCATTTTTTTCTTTTATATTCCTATATGGATATTGTGGTATCCATGTGTAGTATATTTACTAAGTATATTTTACAAAACATTTTCAGACTCCTGCTTCTATTTGATCAAGCTTAAATATAAATAGCATACTGTATGGGAAATTTAATTTATTGGAAACATGAATTAGAGATGTTACTCTTGGAAAGCCACAAAGCAAAATACAATTTTACTAAATCAGGATAAACCAGACAAAACTACATAAAGTCACACGTATGTACACTCTAAGTGCTCAAAGCTTAGAGGAGAAAGCAAATACACAGAGCTAAACTCATGGGAGCTGGAAGGAACTGCCTTAAGAAGTAAAACACAGGGTGGACCAAGCTATAGGTTTCAGGTTATTTTTCTCCTAATATTCTACTATCAGATTCAAAAGTGAAATGACTAAACATCATGAAATGTTTAAAAAAATTCCTTTTCCTTTGGTAACATCTGTACTGGAGTTTCACTTCACTGTGCATATGATAAAATGTTTATACCATATCCTAAAGACCGGACAGCAAACTTTTGTAGATGAAGTCAGTTTTAAAATGATCTGAAGTCATGCAACAGACTTGAGAGCCAGCCAAATTTACAGATTTTTTTTTTCTGTTGATATAAAGCAATTGCTTATATTTATGCTAAATACAAATTACTTCAAGCTGAAACATCTTTCCCTTTAGAAAGCAAATTCCTACCTAGGGCTTATTTCCATGCAGAGAACTAGACACTTACCTCTATGAACAATATCATTCTTATGGCACCAATGAATTGCTTTAATTAGCTGGTAGATATAGCTTTTCACTTTTTCTGGTGGAACTCCATTTGGCATTTCTTCTAGCAATTCAAGCATATTCTAAATGTTTAAAACACACATTATTCAATATAAAGTTGTACTCTAGTTGCTAGAAGATAACATACTTTCAGTGTTTTGATGCAACTTAGGTCACTGAGCCTGGCTATGCAAAAAATCAATGGTTAAACACTAAAGGAGTGTATTTTAATCATAAGCATACTACTACCTGATCTCTTTCTTGAGAAAGCACTTGTGAAGATAATAATCCTTAGAGGTGAACCACAAATATACAAGTCCCTGAAAGACTGTCATCAAACCACTTAAGTTAAAATTTCTAAAAAGTCCTCTTGTTACAAAAATTTGCTCAAACAGAACCACCAGGTCAGTGTGGCTACATGAAAATTTTAGTACAGCACAGAATTTTGTAAATATCCAATGGTGCTATAACACACTGTTTTCTTCATTATTAAGCTAGTTTACTGCTTTGACTGGGCCATGGTTAATCACAAACCATGTCTGTACGTGAATGGGTACAGTTAAAGCAACACAGGCTTTTTAGTGAAAATGGAGTAACAGATATAAAACATGTCTCATAGGTGCAAAAATAGCAACCTAGGACGTATCCTGTAGCTGTATAACAGCAATACTAATCTTAGACATATTTGCACTACAGTATCTATGGCCATATTAACTCTTTATGGATACATCTAGGGAAGTAAATAAATTGATTGCTTATACCAATAAATTTCCTCTTTGAAAAAGGACACTTAGATTCCCATTATGTTACCAAATGTCTCCAATTTTGCACAATTTGAAGTACAGGAAATTTTTCACTCTGAATCCTGAACGAATAACGAGCAGCAGCAGCCCACTTGAAGAGAGGAAAGTCTTATTTACTGAACACTGAAATAGAGATACGTATTTTGGCTATGATGCCGTACAAAACTCGTTTAATTATGGATTTGAGCATCTGTAGATTTTTCATTTAAAATATATTTACCTTGTCTTTGACAAACATTTTCTTCAGCTGTAGAATACATTCTTTTGAGGTTTCTCTTGTAAAATATTTTAATGAACGCACATATAAGACAAAACAAATGGAGACTGACAATATTTGAAAAAAACAAAAAATCTAAGTTTTAAAATCGAATAAATACTGGAATATGTGCTTGAGTGTAAGTTTCCTTAGAAATACACTTCAGATCTGAGTAAGAAAATTTTCTGTTAAGGAATCACATTGATTTTAGTTAGAGTCTTGTCCACATAAAGCATGTGGATCTCGATAAGTAAGTCAAGAAGTTAGTGTTACAAATAGGAACCAAAATAGTAGCATCAACACAGCAAGACATAGTCCTATATAAAGACATTAACTAAGGAGATGATGAATAAAGGAGATTAGACTAAAGGTGAATTTAAGTAATCTGGATTTGAGTTTTGCAGAGCTAAGATTCCCTAAAGGACACAAGGTGCTCATCACCAGTTAAAATAAAAAGTAGCTTACTCTAGCACATTTTATTTAATTCCTCCTACTCTCCCCTCATCCAAAAAAAATAGAAATCATCCTGGTCTTCAAAGAAACTATTTGACATACCTGAAAATGAGAAATGCTCATGGATGGCAGTGTTTAACCGAAAACAAATGCAACCATTATAACACAGAAATTACATTAGGCACAGACTATACGTGATTTCCACCATTATCATTATATTCTTTTATTCTGATGCAAATAACATTCGATATTGCAGCCTAGTGTTCTTACCGATATTAACTATATTTGAAGTATACTCTTTATCAGATCAATTAAATGTCTTTCATTTATGCTGCTCTTCCAACCCACCACTATGGAGAGCTTAGCCAAGTCAACTGTAATAGAAAATTAAATGTATGTTCTAAATTGGTGTGTGATCAAAGACATTCCACGTGTCTGGAACAGTTACAAGGAACGTGGGTGAAACAAGCCAAGTTTTGGATGTTAGTTCTATGATCTACTCCATCAGAAGGTGCTGAGCTGCTGGTGAAAAACAAACCTGATTTTGGCCAAACTATGGGCTAATACTGGTCACCTCACATCATGCAATAAAGTTGTACCACATAATAAATGGTTAATTGCATAAAGGAGACACAGTATTTAGGGTGAGGAATCTTTAAAACAGAAAGAATTGACTGAAGAGGACTAGCACTCAGCTAAACTGAAACATCACACTAGCAGATACTAAATAAAAATTTCAGTCAAGGGAGCAATATCTTATGAAAGATACAGAGATACATATATTTAAGTTTGTGTTTATTTTTACTGTGTGTATCTCAATATCATCTAATTCTTTCCATGAAGAAATGCTAAATGGTTAGAATACGGAGGCAAGGCCTAGCTTCATCATGAACATTGCAAAAATTAAAAAAAAAAACCAACAAAACAACACCAACAAATCTGTTCTACGTTATTTCTCCCTGGAAACAGACCAGGGTGCTTGGCAGTAGTAGGCCAGTCTAAGGAAATTTTGGAATTGTTTCAAATGAGGTCAGGATTGGAGATAATGACAGTGATCTTTGCCAAATCCCTCTAAGCAACTATTGATAGTGGCCTTGTTACAGAAATATGCACACATATCCTATTTTTAACAGGGAAAGGTGGAGAAAGTTGAAACAGATTCCAAGGTCAAAAGTCTATGATCTTGTTTTGAATGACTATGTCAAGATTCATTACACAACATAACGCAGGACAGTTAATCAGCTTTACAATTAAACAGGACTAAACAGTTTGGATAGGTATTGTATTTTTTTTTATATGATACGTATTCCAGTCTACATAATTTGAACACGTTTGTTTTCATACATGCAAGAACTATTCTTTTTATATGAACACATGAAATGAAAACAATAGTAAAGTTATCAGTGTTGCTTTCTCACATAAATGCCTAATTACAACAGTTCAGATTGTACTAAAGTTTTTGCTGTTCCTTTTACAGATTGGAATAGCTTAATTTTTAAAAGTTAAAGTAATTTTAAAGACTACTCCAGGAAACTGATGATGCAACTGTGGCAAAGATAGTACAAACTCAACTCACTTTTTCCACATATTCAAAAACTAAGTATAATTTTCCTCTTCTTCTGAAGGCTTCCTTCAGCTCCACTATGTTCTCCTGCTTCAAAGTGCGAAGCATTTTAAGCTCTCGTAAAGTGGTTTCTTTGACTTCTTCATTTTCTAGAGTGCAAAGTAAAAGTGATACAGTAAAACTTACTAAAAACCAAAACAAAATCCCAAGTAACAAGTGTTATAAAACTTCATTTTGAACCCCAGTTCTGTTTCTAGATACTACAGAGAAAAAGGCTGATTTTGTAGTGTGGACTCTGCTGCCTGGATGCTTTTGCATTGGAAGAGAGGTAACTGGTGACTGTGCTCCCATTATACAATCCTCACATCACTACGTTCTAGGTTTTCAGTGGCAGAAAACATTGTAAGAAACAAATCATTTGCATTTCTGTCTTTTTCATTATGAAGATCATTAATACACTTCAAAAAATAAGCATGTATGTGTACAGACACGTCTTCTACCCCACAAATATGTTACATGCACTAAGCACTGGCAAGGTTAATATGTCCTTAGCAGAAACACTGGAATGTAAAGCTCATGTTTGAACTATGTCAAAGAAATCTATTTAATTCTAAAAATCTTTCCCCAAAAGCCATGAGAAACTTTACGATCAAGGCACAGATTTGTAAGTCCTGCAAGATTCCCCACAAGGCTTTCAATGGAAAATCAGCAATGCAAGCCAGTGTAGCAGCCACAGAGAGCAGTAGAGCAAGTATTGATTCAACAAAGCCTTGAATCTGATTCTCAGGAGTCAAGAAATTTAACTGTTGTTTTGACAATTTAGTTGTCCGAAAGCTGTTCAAGAGGAGTGATTTACCTAAAGCTTTGTATACTGCCTATTATCAAGGGTCCTGAACTGACTGGGTTCTAAAGGATACAACCAATGAAATATCAAGTAAACCAGATTATATTAGATTTTATTTTTAATTTCACAAAATGAAATCCATCAATTCAGTAAATTTGCCTATACACATGTAGAAGCAGGGTTTTTAATCTCTTAGAACTGTTATCCACAATAGAGGGATATTAAATAGGATATAATTGCATAAATTCAAAGCTAAATCATATTTGCAGGTCATGTACCACAAAGAAAGAGGCAGAGGAAGAAGAAACAAGGAAGAGAAATTGTTTTTCCAAGCAAGCAGAATGCAAAAACAGGTTTGCACTGGGGAGAGAATAACACAGGTCATACAAATGCATATAATCATCATCATCAGAGAGAGAGGGGAAAAAAAAAAGTGACATGTACAGGGGGAAAAGAAAACAAAATACTATCATCACAAATGTTTTGATTAAAAAATATGTAATTTAGCACAGTCTAAATAATTTCATTTTAAGACTGAAATTGCTCGGTGCTGGCTTGCATCAGCCTGATTACATAATTTCATCTATAACTAGAGACGCTCTTTCCAGAGTATTTAGCATGCATATGTTAGAAAGCAGCAAAAATTCAGTGACACAAAAATGGCAATAGAAACAATTACGTTATATTCAGATTTCTAATGAATTACTATATTGACAAGACAGATGTGAAATCGGCTGAATCAAATCCATCAAAAGAACCATCATATTTCCAGAAACTTGCAAACAACTAGCTACAACTCTAAAAAGCATTCATCAGTCATACATAACTAGTATTATGTAAACTCTTGGATTGCTGTGGGTTTCATTTTCATTTTTTGGTAGACAGGCTAATAAAATAATCCTTTTCAGGGCTTAATATTGAGATTTACTGCCTAGGATCTATACTGAATAGCCATATCAAGTTCCAAAAAGCAATTCTGAAGTACTCACATGAGCTGGTCAAAATGGTCACCACAATTAATTTAACTTCTACACTCTTTAGCAGGGAATTAAAACAGATTTCTGAATAGAGGTGCTAAAAATTTCATCAAATATACTCTTCAAGTATCTGGCAAAATCAGCTGCAAAGCACAGAGTTTGCATTGCATAAAACAGACACAAATCAGACTGCTATATCTAGCTGACTGAAATTTACAGTCCTTGTAACCACACTTCCATGGCCAACAGCAATCCTATAACAATAAGAAAAAAGAAAAGTTTGCTGAAATGAACTGATTGCTGTTTCCTTAAACCACATCATTAGCTTTCAGCTAAAGCCTTGGTATATGGCAAATCATAGCTGCATTGCCTCAGACTGGGATGAATCCTCTTATTACTTCATACTTGGCTTCTCCTTCTGGTTTTGCTAAGCCATTAGGGATCAGGATTAACTTCTGATGTATGCAAGGTAGGTAGTTGCTTTCATGGTTAATTGCCAATTTTGCCTACGATAGGGTACTAGGATTCACTGTCCTCCAACATGCTCAGGTCAGAGAGCCAGTATTGCCTTATACAAATCTCTAGGTTTATTACTGCTGCATGAGGAATAAGCATGTGCAGCCCTACAATAATTTCCACGTGTCCTGCTTTGTGCTATCCACTTTGCCAGCAACAGTAAGCCTTGTAGGAAGTGGCTCTTCCCCTCTCTCAGCAAACTCAGCAATACTGGAGGGTTTACAGAAGCTGCTGTGAGGAGGCAAAGAGCAAGTTTCCTGTGAGGAGTGCAGTCTGCTGAAGGCGGGACAGAGCCTCTGCCTCACCACCCTGCTCCCTCAAATCCTCCCACAGATCCCTGAGAGCTCCTTGATTCCAGTTCATGCCACAGAACTTCCCAGTGACTTCTCTCCATCTCCTTCATTTACCCGTTCAATTTCCCCTAACATTTAGATCCCCTCCCATAGATGAAGGGTGATAAAGCCCAAAGACTCTGAAAGCCCTACTACAAGGATTTTTAGCCATTTTCTGATCACATCCACTCTCCAAGTAGTAGATCTTACTACCGTGTATGACAAAGCAATCTCAGCCATATTAAGATGGATGGACCGAGAAAGAAAGGTAGTTATCTAGTTGGAGTATATAATGCAGTCCCTAGGCAGGTATGAATGATCAAGTGCCTTGAACAGTCACAGAGCTAATAAATCATTATCATCTTTAAATCATGTCCTGATATATGAGTCTTCTTATTTTAACTGCAGAGATATTAACAATGTAGTTATCTTCATGAAAGATTAGGCAGCAGAAAAGGTTACCTTCACTGTCTTTGAATTTCTTGATAGCCACAATTTCATGTGTCTCCTGTAAAACAAAAGCAAAGAAAGGGAAATGAGCAAGATCTGCTGTTTTCTCTTGTTTGTCTGTTGCTTTTTTCCCCTGAGCATCAGACAAAGAAAAAAAAAAAGCATCCAGAGAAATTTCACAATGTGAAACAAAATTAATTAAAAATCTGGTAAACTCCTCAGTGATCAGGCCAAGTGCAATACAAAACCACATGTTGCAGATATGTCACAATTAGGAACCCCGGTGTGAAGAAAACAAAGTCAAAGGCCAAAAAATCATATTTAAATGCCTTGTATCAGATATCAATTAAATTTTCAGAAGAGTTGTTCCTCTGACTCTTGTTGTTTGGTTATTCTGAAATACTGACGATGAACAATGCTTAATCTGACCAAAGTTTGAATGTGGGTGCTTATCTCTGTGAGCTGAAATGAAAATACTGTAGTAGCATGTGACTAACGCTTACAACGAGACCTGTAATTTTGGTTGCCAAAAGTTTTGGGATTTCAAAGTTCAAATATCCACAAAGAACATGATTTTAGGAAAGCAAATTCTCTGTGCCTTCTTAAAAAAAAAGTTGTTATCTTAAGGGAAGCCTATCCAAAAGCAGAATCACTAATTGTGTCAAAAAGTCTTAATCGGTGACTACTACATGATCATAGGTGATAACTTCTAAACACCTGCCTGCCTTTGCATTCCTCTTGTATTCTCTATTCTCACCAAACCTCATCACCACAGGTGACATTTTTCTCTTGTTGTGTGAACAGAAACACATTTAGCACATGGCCAAAATGCAGCCAACATGACATGACTAGTGCAGGTCTGTTCATACAATGGTACAGTGCCTGAATTTTAGTTACATGGTGGGGAAGAAGCTTTAAGGTCACAGAGTAAGGGTGTGTGAGCAGACAGGTGGTAGGGTATCTGGGTTACTTCTCAAGCTGGATCAAGCTTACACACCTGTTCCAAACATCACAGTTAAGAAAACCCAAACAACCAAAAATATGCCACTATTAATAACATACAAAGCCTGGATTGGAGAACAGCAATAAAAAAGTGAAGCCTTTTTGGAATACCTGAAGACATGTGTGTAAACAAGTATTGAATAAAACAATAATTTACTCAATTTTTCATTTCAAATCATCGTAACACATGAAACACCTGATCCCATTTAAAATCAAAGCATCTGGAAAGACTACTGCAGATAGTGAATAATGCCTTTTAAGGCCTTTAAATGAAAATCAATACTACTACGAATAAAAATAAATTTAAAAAAACGTTTGCAAACGAATGTAAGAATATACATGTGTGTGTGTATAATTTGCACCTTTAAAAAAAAAATCCTTTGATCATTACTCATAACACCTATGAGGAAAACTTAAAAGCATTATGTTGGTTTTCTGCCTCCGAAACCTACCTGTCACATACACTGGTCTAATCTGAAGGCTGTGTCGTGGTTCAAACCCAGCCGGCAACTTGGAACCACGCAGCCGCTCGCTCACTCCCCCCTTTTCCTTCCTCCCCCCGCTCCCGGAGGGATGGGGAGGAGAATTGGAGGAATGTAACTCCCACGAGTTGAGATAACAGCTCTCCAGTAACTAAGGTATAATACACACCACTACTGCTACCAATAATAATGATAAGAGGAATAACAAGGGGAGAGGACACAACCGCTCACCACCCGCCGACCGATACCCAGCCCGACCCGAGCAGCGATCTGGGCCTTCCGGGTAACTCCCCCCAGTTTATATACTGGGCATGACGTGCTGTGGTATGGAATACCCCTTTGGCCAGTTTGGGTCAGGTGTCCTGCCTCTGCTTCCTCCTGGCTTCCCCTCCTCTCTGGCAAAGCATGAGACTGAGAAAGTCCTTGGTCAGAGTAAACATTACTTAGCAACAACTAAAAACATCGGTGTTATCAGCATTGTTCCCAGACTGAAAGTCACAAACACAGCACTGCACCAGCTACTAAGAAGGAGAAAAAATGACTGCTGTAGCTGAACCCAGGACAGGCTGGTAGATTGCATAAATTCGGCTGAGATAATAAAAAGCTCAAAGCACTACCCCTTGCTCAACCAATTACAGAACAGCAATGAAAGGGATGTCAGAACTGAGGAGATAATATGCGTTTTAGGCTCAGAGTGATTCTGAAAGGCTTGTCTATATCTTTTTATGTCAAATACAGTTCCTAAAGATTTTTATTTTGGGAAGCTTACAAACTGAATGGTCTAAACTAAACTGAACAGACTATTTTACTAACTATAGTAAAACTGCAAGGTCCTGCACCTGGGTCGGGGCAATCCCAAGCACAAATACAGGCTGGGCAGAGAATGGGTTGAGAGCAGCCCTGTAGAGGACTTGGGGGTGTTGGTTGATGAGAAGCTCAACATGAGCCAGCTTCAGTGTGTGCTTGCAGCCCAGAAAGCCAACCGTACCCTGGGCTGCATCAAGAGAAGCATGGCCAGCAGGTCGAGGAACGTGACTCTCCCCCTCTGCTCTGCTCTTGTGGGACCTTACCTGGAGTACTGCATCCAGCTCTGGGGCCCCCAACACAAGAGGCATGTGGACCTGCTTGAGCAGTTCCAGAGGAGACCACAAGGATGGTCCAAGGGCTGCAGCACCTCTTCTATGAAGGCAGGCCAAAAGGCCTGGGGTTGTTCAGCCTGGAGAAGAGAAGGCTCCGGGTAGACCTTAGAGCAGCCCAGTATCTAAAGAAGGCTTACAAGAAATCTGGGGAGGGACTTTTACATGGGTGATAGGACAAGGGGTAATGGCTTTATGCTGAAAGAGGGTAGATTGAGATATTAGGAAAAAATTCTTTACTATGAGGGCTGTGAGGCCCTGGAACAGGTTGCCCAGGGAAGTTACGGATGCCCCATATCTGGAAGCATTCAAGGCCAGGTTGGATGGGGCTTTGATCAACCTGGTCTAGTGGAAGGTGTCCCTGCTTGTGGCAGAAGGGTTGGAGCTGGGTGTTCTTTAAGGTCCCTTCCAACTCAAACTATTCTATGATTCTATGATATTGTTACTACTAAGTTGTTACAGTTATTAACTCTAACTATAGTAATAATAGCAATAGTTACTAGCATTATGAAAGAACAGTGCTAAGAGGATGCGTAAATTTAGCTTATTTGACTTCTGCTATCTGCTGTTAGGTGCTTTGGCTAATTAAGCTTTTGAAAGGTTTTTCAGAAAAGAAACACCGTAATTGCCCTCAAAAGTCTCTGCTAACTGTAATATGCCTATGTTTAGACAGTGTGCATATACCACTTTGCAGATGAGCCAGATTCATCCATTAGCTTTACATTTTTATTTCACATGGAGGAAAAGAAAAATCTGTAGACGTTTCAGCAACTATCAAAAGGCTGTATGTTCATTCTCAAAGTAATGGCTAAGTACACTGAAAGAAAGGTAGGAGTTAAGAGCTGTTGCCTCACACAGACAGCAATTCTGCACCATTCAAGAAATGTAGTCCACATGGCTTCTCTGCCATATGCTGCTGTCCCTCGTGTGTACAGTGAATGTGATTGTTTTGGAAATTAAATTTTAAAAGCTCTTGGGTCACAGTTGTAGAAAGAGTTACATAAGATACGCTAGATATGCTATCAAATGTCCTATAGAATTTTGAATGCTCATGGTATTTAAAGCACAAATGGCTCTATGAAGAACAGGAAAAGAAAGACTTCACCAACACACATATGGAGGAAAAGGTTACCCAAACAGTTCACTTGTATTTCCTCATTAAAATAATTAATGGTGTCATAATTAAGCAACCAAGAATTTATACATGACATATTCCCTATCTTAAAAAAAGAACACAAAAACAAACAACAAAAAACTTAATCAAATAATGCAAAGCGAAACAATACCAAAAATGAGACTAGACAACAGGTGCTTTGAGAAGCTGCAGTAGTAACATTTTGTTTCTCCTTAGGGAGGGACATTCTTGTCTAGGTTTACTTGGAGGACCTCATCCTATCTAAATGGTGTTCTCTAGGCATGAGCTACTAGTGAAGCAGTGAAGCCAAAGCTAAAATAGATACAAGGACACTGAATATTACTGTGCATATGTCCCGGGTTCAGGCCAAACCTGAAGTTTCAAACAAGTACTGACATGAAAAGCAAACAGACATCACATTTCTAAGCCCTGAGAAGATCAACACAAATGGAGACACAAAGAAAAGCAGAGCTGTGAGCAGTGAGGGAATTCAACAGTGAAAATTGACACACCTGTGAGAATCTGAAAAATTCTTCACTGATCAAATTTAGACTTTGTTACTGAAAGTCCTTCTGGAGCTCTTTTGTGGATCTGGTTCTCTGCTCTTCCAAAACAGGCCAAATTGCAATTCTCCAAAATAGAATTGTCATTCTCTAAAACAGCTTTTTTTTTCAAGAAGTTTTTGGTTTTGGGTTTTTTTTTAAGACAGAAAAAACCCTGTCTGAAACAGGACATTACTGAAAATAATGTTTAGTCTGACTGTGGAAACCTCTTTAGACAATAGCTTAGTATCCAACTCCAAGCATGGAAAATTCTTATATCCAATTAATGTATTGTCAAGGTAGATAAGCTCTTAGTAGTTGGTTCAATGTTTGAGCCCTCAATGAACACCAAGGAAAGAAAAAAACTCTAGAAATACTAAATATTCTGTGCTCTTTATGGAACACTTAATAGCTTTCTGATCTCTACTACTAGCTTATATCATGAAGTGCATTTATTACTAAGCATCTCATTATCTTGTTCTACTAAAAAATTCTGCCCTCAATGTTTCACTTTACATTTTGAGGCAACAGCAAATTTGCAAAAGCACAAGTAAATTTTATCTTAGCATTAGTATTACCTCTGCTTATTGAGCACATGTTGTGAACATTTTATGTTATAAAACTGTAGGAAAAGCACTGTTTTACAGTGAAGTATACAATAGATGTTACTAAAACACTTTGCGTAAAAGGATGTACATAAACTGATTATTCAGACTCCGTTACTACCTGTGTCTAAAATGGGGCAAAATATCTCTCTTCTC